TCCGAGGAATTGGGGCTCGTTTGGAGCAGAACTCAATGGGTTAAAGCCGTGGCGAAGGGGTGGTTTCAGATGCTTTTTGGGAGGCTGGTTAGTGGTGGAAAATGCTAGGAAAGTGTTTGGCGAAGGGGTGGTTTCAGATGCTTTTTTGGGAGGCTGGTTAGTGGTGGAAAATGCTAGGAAAGTGTTTTTTTCTAGGGATCCAGAGCGTCCGTTTGACACCGAACGTCCGAGGAATTGGCGAAGGGGTGGCATTTTGTGTGTCGAATTAGATTGTGGAAAGCTGTGGCGAAGGGAATGACTGGGAGCAGGTGTCAACCAGCCAGAGCACCCTGTGGGAGGTCAGAGAACGGCTGCTTCACAGACTAGTTTTACGGCTTCCGAAAGCGACGTTAGACATTCTGAGGGCGTACGGGGAGGACCCCTTCAGGGCGATTTTTGGTCTTGAATTAGATTGTGGAAAGCTGTGGCGAAGGGGTGGTTTCAGATGCTTTTTGGGAGGCTGGTTAGTGGTGGAAAATGCTAGGAAAGTGTTTTTTTTCTAGGGATCCAGAGCGTCCGTTTGACACCGAACGTCCGAGGAATTGGGGCTCGTTTGGAGTTTGACACCGAACGTCCGAGGAATTGGGGCTCGTTTGGAGCAGAACTCAATGGGTGAAAGCCGTGGCGAAGGGGTGGTTTCAGATGCTTTTGGGAGGCTGGAAAGCTTTTGGCGGGCTGTTGGTGCAAGCTTTTTGGGAGGCTGGTTAGTGGTGGAAAATGCTAGTAAAAATTGTCTTTTTTCTAGGGATCCAGAGCGTCCGCTTGACATCGAACGTCCGAGGAATTGGGGCTCGTTTGGAGCAGAACTCAATGGGTTAAAGCTGTGGCGAAGGGGTGGAAACTCAGCCAGTGGAGGGGCGTGTCGATCCCGAAAGGGGAGGTTTGGCCTTCTCGGAGAGCGTGACCTCGACCGTGAAGAAGTCCTGTAGGCCACCGAGACACCATTGTCGTCCCAGATGTTGGAGGGACTTCCCTTCCTCTTGCATCGCTCGATCGGAAGTACATAATCTCACCCCCCAGCCTCTAGAATCCCCCTTTTTGCAACGTCTCACCTTTTTCTTCACTCCCGACCCCTGGACCTCTTCGCTCCACGACCCGTTCCCTCCGGCCTGACCCTCCAGAAGGCTGGCGTGCAGCGCCTCGTCGCAAGCACCAAGCTGGCGTCGATGCCACTCGCCACCACAGCCGGCCATGCCGATCGATGTTTGTCTTCAACGCGGGAATGTTTTAACTGATCCTGCTAAATCCTAACTAGACCATGTCATGTCATCTTATCTGTCGTATTATTAACCATATTGTCTGATTCGATTTTGGCATTGGAGCTGATGAAATCGACCGAAACATGTTGTTTGCAAGGATGATGTTCTAAGTGGAGTGATGTAGGCTCCTCTCGGTCTTCTGTCGGCCATCTTTACAGAGTTGCTAGTGACTTCTTGCCAACCAATGGAGGACACGCCGGACCTGAGAATCGGGGTCGGCGGCAGGGGCGGCAGCCCTTAAATATATAGCAGGACAACTTACAGGAGAGAATGATAAGTTATGAAGTGAACCACGCGAGCTTTGATTTGGGTCTTTAATCGTTTCCACGTGTTTCCGACCAAAAAGCTTTTGCCGAAACACCAACCAGTTCGAGCCGGGACCTGCAACATCTCCATCCCAATGAAATTCTGGATGGATAAGCATGTGTCCACTAATTAATTAGGTTGGTGAATGAGGAAGAACTCTCATTTCTCCACAGCCTAATGCTAGTCAACCAATTGACCAATCCATGCTTGCAATTGAAATTCCTCCTCTTGCCGACCTCCTCTCCAATCCGACCTCCATGCCAAGTCACCAGTCCTCTATCTCCGCTCCTTTGTTCCCGCATTCGCCGGCACCGGCTACGTAACCCCAGGACTTCACACAGAAAGACCACCGCAGCCAGCACGATCAACGAGGTGCCACACAAGCCCGAGGTGAAAGCAAACCACATCCTCGGGCGAGAGACATGACGATCAGCTGGGAGATGTTGAGGATGGCTATAAGATATACTATATATCCTATAGATATGGTGTGGGTGGTGTTTCTGAAGTGAGCGAAGAAGCAAAGGAGGATCTTGTGAAAGTATAAATCTCTAGTATGGTAAGCATTCATCAAAAGCCCCCAACCAAACCTGAAAGCATCCTCAAAGGTCTTCCAAGAAGTGCCATCACCTTAAAACACACCTGCCGTCACCTTCCGTCAGGAATCTGAAAAATCAGCAGAATGCCAATGCTGGCCCGTATGTACTTCTTAGACATGCTGGCCGTCTCTCCGGCTTCCAAAGTTGGCAGAACGGCACGGAATTCACGAGGGCCAATGCGAAATGAGAGGAGGTTGGTCATCGCGGCCAAGCATGCCACTGGAAGTAGGAGCCTAAGGTTTGCAACAGCTTTAAAGTAAAGGCAAAGGGCAGGAAAAACAAACAACATCTGCCAAGAAATCATCATTGAATTATGATGGTTTACAATTCAAACATCCACAGCAGTTCGAGGTTGGGATGGATTTGGGCAGTAAAAAACCAGCAGTGAGTTCAGCTTTTTCAATTGTTGCAAGCAAACGAATTGAAGCCCAACGATATATGGTCACCGTCGTGGACTGTTCGACCCTCAAATGCTGCCAATCGCTACCCAGGCAGTTCCCACCCGAAAAAAATGCGCCTCAATTGTAAAACCCGCAGTTGTGCACCAGAAATTTGGTCATGTTTGGGTCTGAAAAGGAAGACGGACTCATGCACGCTTGCAATCCCGTCAAGATGTTCTGCTCCTCTTTGGGCATTTATTACTGGTTTAAGATTGATCGAGGTGAACACTTTTGGTTCAGCCCCGTGTGAGTAAAAACATGTAGAAACTCAAGCCTTGGCATCAGCTTAGTAGGCAGGTCACTGATCCGCGCCTTGGCATCACTCTTTGAGGCCGCATGATTGAAAAACAACGGACACTTCACCTAGCTGCTGCAGTCCAAGTGTTCCAGGGAGTCATACTATAAGGGGCAAAACCCTGCTCAACCTGCAGGTTTCGCCCAATTCATCGGATGAATTTCGCTCCTAGCTCCTAGACCTTCCACAGGTCTCGGGATCGTAGGTTGATGCTCCACTGCTGCTAGTAGCGTCCGAACGCTCCTAGTAGCGATGCCAGGAGCCCCTAGTAGCTTCTTGTTACTATAGTAGTGAGGCCAGGAGCACCTAGTAGCGTCCTTGCTCCTAGTAGCTCCACTGCTGCCAGGCCACGGCACCAAAGGGCTCCAAATGATCATGACTTCTGCCAGCGTCACCAGGAACGACGCTTGCTGCGCTCGATCCAAGCTTCGGCTTGCGACCAGCTTCCAGCGCTTCAAGCCTCCGACAGCTTAGCAGGGGTCTCAAGTGCAGTCTTCAAGGAATGAAAGTGTTCAACTGAGTGCGGTCTTCAGCATGAACAAAGTGAAACAATGAACAACCACATGTGGGGTTGTCTACAAAATGGGTTCTACAGTAGCCTGTCCTGTAGCAATTGGAACCCTGTCGTCCAATTTGTCTATATCATGTTCAAGTGTGCTTTAAGCAGCTGTGCAACATTTGCAGTGGACATTGGTACGCACTGTGTGGAACTGGATATCATGAACCCACGGCGCAACTCATTCCAGACTAGGACAGCTAGTGCTACATCTTCATGCGTTTGCCATTGTCCACACGGAGGTATTTAAGCTCGCAGCGCTATGCTGTTTATCGTTTTGTGCCTGGTGCAAACATTGATTTCTACGCACAAACAAAGAGGTTGCAACACAATACTCCTGGCTGTTTTTGGTGGGGGTACAAACGTATTTTAAGCAATTGGTGAGGCATGGTGAGACGTATCGTCAATGATTATCCAAGCGCAGGCTGGTGCAGGGTCATCATTCAGTTTGCATTATTCTGGCAAAAACAAACATGCAAAAAAATGCAAAAATAGTCTTGGATAGAGGTTTTTACACTCTCCTCGGTGTCAAAAACATCCGAGAACACACAATTAATAACAACATTGACAACATAGGACACATTCGGAAACCATGCATGCATTTTTTAACTCATTAGTTCCTTCACATCCCAAGTTGTAGCCAGAATCTCATTGTCACAGGTCGTGGGTTCATTGTGTCTGTTCTTTTTTCCTTGATTTGGTTCCCGGACGTTCTGGAATAAATGCACTGATGTGGCCTACCATCCGCCATGCGAACATCACAAGACATCAAAGGAAGACTTGGCTGGTGATCTGCAAAAAAATGCCATTACCACGGTTTGCTCTTCTATCCGAGGGCGGTCTCTGAAAAACACCCGAAAAAAAGGGGCCGTGCTCGGCCATGTTTGCGAAGAATTATCATGAGTTGATGACATTCTGAAACATGCGTAAAGATCACACTGTGTAAGATCATTAATGGTTGGGTTCTTTCCCCACCACGCTGCCCTTCCATTGTAGGAACTATCAAATTCAGTAACACGCAAAGGGCATTCTTCAAAACATGCAATCGCATTCCCGACGCCCTGCACCAAAACGACAAAGCAAACATCCGAACCGGCATTAGAGTAGGCGCCTAGGCATGCCAAAGGAAATACATGAAGTTCGCCATTCACCTCCTTCGACCATTTCCAAAGCAACAAAGTGATGACCTGGGCGCTGAATGGACATCCACTCTCGATCGCAAGCGCGCCCCCCCGATCGCCACCGCTGGTGGGACAAAGAATCGCCGAAGCATCTCGTGGTCGTCCGCCAACGGCCAACAAGACTTTCACCGGCCCACACCACAGCCACGAGTGCTTGGCGGGGGCTTAAAACATCCAAAAACGCGGAAACTACAAATCGATTAGTGTCCGAGTTAATAGGTGGACCTCAAACCATTCGCCTCTTCGAGTGTTGCACCGGCCAAAGCACGGGCTGCAGAAAGGCACGCTGAAGGAGTTTCGCCACAAACAAAGGCGCCAGGGTGTCCACCACGGAGCGGGGGCACGCCTCAGCTGACTGCCCTTCAGCTGACTCGCAGTCAGACAGGGTTCGATCAAGTGAACAAAACAATTCATGTATTCATGTTTATTTCATGTTTGAAGGCAGGCCCATGGGCCCATTGTATGTCAGGATAGCAAATTAAACAACATGTTGGAGTTGAACAAACCCATAGACCAACCCCACTAAAGGACCTGCTGGCATTTCCAAACAAACAGTGAGACTTTTGGGGGCCAATATGGGAGGATTCATCTTAATTTTGTCTCCTTCCTCCTTGATGGTCTTTTGACAACAATCACTGTGGGAGGTCACGGAAGCTTAACCTCAATGTACACGAATTACGCAATTCACAGCAATCGAGGTGTCCAATGCACGGCACGGGGCCAAGCGAACGACTGGCCCAAGCGGTCATCTTGAAGTGTTTCGTTTCGTTTCTGTCCTCCCAAATCGCGCACGGGGAACGCAGCCGAACGCACATCACACAGCCCACCCAATGCAATTCACAAAGCACCTCGACAAAAACAGCCCTGGCACGGCGGCACACCTTCACTCAGTCACTAGGCTTGCTAAGGCACTAAGCGTTCAACCTCACGTTGCACCGTGCGCAAATGTGCGAACATGGGAAGTCCCCCACAGCTCACGTCCACGCGCCTTCCATGACAAGTCCAAGCCCCCGCGTCGTGTGGAAAGCCAAACGTGCACCACACTACAAGCTTGACATGACCACGTCACACTCATCAAAGTCACCATGTCACCATGTGACATTGCGACTTAAACACTGGAAGCAAACCTTCCAACAGCCAACCAACAAATTCAGCCTGGAACAGCAACATTCAACATCTTGATCATCTTGAGATCAAGAAGCCCCACCCTGAAAACCCACATCGAAGCAAATCCCAATTTCCGGGCTTTCGCCCCATCCAAGTAAAACCACGAGCTTGCGTCCGGTTCCTTCTTTCTCCGCATGCGGCCCCGCAAAAATACGTCATGACCTAACCATCGACTCATCCTGCCAGAAACAGCAAAACAGCGAACAAAGAAACAGCGGCTGGGCCGGCCCAGACTACGCGCCCCAACGAAATCTTCCAAGGTTCCTCTGTCTTCCACCAGTTCTTGTTCTGGACACCTTGGGAGAAGGGCTGCACTCGAGAGAGAGAGAGAGCTTGAGTTTTAGAAGGAATGCAGAATTGTAATGGGCTACAGACATCAGCAACTTCATTGTTATCTGTATAGTATACCAAGACCATCCAAGGGGTGTCCAATGGACTACCTGTTGGACAGGTACGTGATGTATGATACATCTTCAAACTGTTCCACCAGGCCAAGGCTCACAAGTCTTTGATGGGATCCAACAGCTCATGACTTCCAAGGCTAACCTTGAAGGTGTGATAGAGATCTGACTGCGGACTGCACATGGTCCAGAACCTAAGCACTGTTGCAACATATATATAGGGTGGTAGAGAAATACACAGTGAAAGCTTCAGTAGAAGTTCAAAGACCAGCTGTGAGACACATAAGAGTAACGCCTTAGGTGGCTTAGAGGGACTCTAGCGACGATATGCGACAACCGCTTAGCGATCGAGAAACGTGGTCCATCCGCGCATGCAGTGTTCACTCATGTAGATGGCGCAAAGAGTGGCATTGAGCCACATGGTGCATGTTCGTGCAGCCATCAAGAGCATGGAGCGTCGAATTTGGGAGCGCTGGGACATACGCATGGCCAATCTCCTTAGTGAGATCGGTTAACAAGTGAAGAAGGGATCCTTGAAGCCTGTGGTTGTCGAGTGTAATGGAATTCTTGGAATAGGGAAACCCCTATATTCCAAGACCCCTGGGAAGGCCAAAACTCAACAGAATGGGATCTCCCTAGAAAACACTACAAACCCATATTTCAGTCAGCATTCTTTATTCCAAACGAACCAAACACAAGAGAAGTTAGCTAAGTGCCACCTCAAGCATCGGGGTGATCAGCATGTCCTCGAATCGCAAGAGGATGTGTGTCTGGGAAATGGTTCCATTATGTTCAATTCGTTTGCTGATTCGGTCACAGAACCTAACACATTCAATTCAAAAGCCATGACATTGACATGTGTCATGTGCAGCATATTGCATACGTCACAAAGCAATGACTTTCGCAACATAACCCACAAACATCTCAAGACCTGGAGGTTCTCCACACATCGAGCGTTTGCGAGCAACTCCGGGTTGGTTCACACAGGACTTCTGGTGAACCCCCCGAAACAGAATGAAGCGTAGTTTCACCCCTACATACCCCTACAAGTCTCCACGAACATGCACACACCTATCAAGATCTCCCCTCTAGTCTCCCCTCTCCATCAAGCTCTGAGCATGTCCGGCTAACAGCTCTGAGGATCGATTAAGAGCATAACGAGGGCAGCTCCATAGTGCACAGCTTTCAAAAAATAGGTGTTGACGACCTGTAGTTTGTTCCGTTTGGGCAGCGATTGCACAAAGGCGTAGCCCAAGGATGGCGATGACAAACATACCACAATCACCATCCAAGAGAACCACCACATCACTTTGTTGAAGATGCTTCCAGAAGGCCTCTCAACTCTTACTGCTTTGGCCCTGGGCGGTTTCGGAACCAATTCCACCAAGTAAAGGCAGCTGCCCACCCAAATGGCCCAAAGGCCGGCTAGACCAAGCTCTGCTAAGCGACCCCCTCCACTGAGAGAGCCCTTGCTCTCAAAGTAGGCAAGGGTGGTTTTGAGAAATGGATGGCCACACTGGTAGTAAGAGCCCTGCCAAACGTAGCAAAGAAGCAGCATCAGCACAATAGGCCCTCCCCAAAGCGTCCTCTGGATCAGGAACACATGGGTGAGTTGCGTATGGTCATCCTGATGATCAAAGAATTTGTGCAGGTGATCCTTCCATGAGGTCATCGTTCTCAAGCTGACACAGTAAAGAGTAACAAAACATAGGGATCCAACAACAAGCCTTTGGATGCTTGACGTCCGGATGCCAAACACTTTGAAAGGAGAGATGTAAAGGAAGGGCTGCTTTTCCGAGTCGGAAAGCCACCAAGGCAGGTCCGCCCAGTCGCTCCCGAGCATGTTTCCTGCAATCACCAATGACCGCAGTGGCAGACTCGAGGACGCGTTTGCGTTCGATGTGTCCTCGGACACGTCGGATGGCAAAGGGCACGAGAGACGGTTGCTCTGCAACAACAGGGTTGGACCCCTTGAAGGTGCCCCACTGCAACGTCCATACAAATTGGAACAAGCGTCCAAGATTTCCCGCCGCTCTTTGCTTGTGAGCTGAAAGTCCTCAAGATCCACCTGCTGATCACAACTAATTGTCATGCAAAAGGATGAATGCTTGACTAAGGCTTCAAATCGGAAGGATGCATCGTCCACGCAGCCACTGCGCAGTTTCATGTCCGGAATGGGGCCCTCCAAGTCGTTGGCGAAGGCCGAGAGAAACAACAGCTGCGGTGAGGTGCCAAATGTGGATGGAATTTCCCCGGTGAGACGGTTCTCGTGCAAAGTGAGAAGTTTCAAGGATGGCAACGACGCTAATTCCGGAGGAATGCTTCCCGTCAAAGCATTCTTGTGCAGTGTCAGCACTTTGATGGCCTCTAACTGCGCGATAGAGGCTGGAATCTGGCATCGGAGCTTGTTGTGGTGCAAATACAGTGTGGTGATATAGTTGAGGCCACAGAAGGCTGAAAGCTCCATATTGATCTTGTTGTGATTCAACAGCAACACTTTCAGCTGAAGATTCCTCTCGGACGTGTTGAAGAATGACGTAAGGGTGTTGTGTTGCAAATGGAGGTACCTGCAGCTGTGTTCATCTTCTCATGCAAAAATCAAAAGCAAACCGAGGTGCCTCAAGTTTCTCAGGTGGCCAACAGAGTCCGGCAACGAGCTTAACTTGTTGCTTGCCAGATCGAGCTTCCTTAATTCATCAAAGACTTTTGACGACTTTGCCTTGAAACAACCAATACTGTAGGAAAAGAAGGTGTCTGGTCAGCTGAAAACAAGTGACTATGTGTTTATGAATATTACACTTTCGAGTTTCTCGAGCCTTCAATATACAGTACGTTATACAATTCTTGCGGTGCATCTTGCAGGTGTGTGCCTATTTTGTGACCAGGTCTTTCACCAATGAAGTCACAAATGGCAAATCAGCAACCCACACACAACACCGAAACTCCGCAGTCCAGGAGAACCAACACCAAATGCCAAAAAGTACTTCCAGTGATCCCCACCATGTCAATGACGTGTTTTTCTCCATGGTGAGGAGCATGTTCCATGGTATTCCATGGTCGTGGGTTTTGTGGCTTTCGATCTTGCTTGTGGTTGTGTGTTTGTGGTTCCGTGTCTGCAATTGTGTGTTTGTTGTTGTGAGTTTGTGGTTGCAGTGTGTTTGTACTTTTGTGTTCGTGATTTTGTGTCTGTGATTGTGTTTGTGGTTGTGTGTGTGGTTGTGATTGTGTTTGTGTCTTGTGTTTCTGCATTGTGGCTATGTGGTGTGTATTGTGTGTTTGTGGTTATGTTGTGTGGCTGTGTGCTGTGTGTTGAGGTCCGGTAGTGCCCGCTGCGATCTGGCACTTGCTGTTGAGGTGGTGAGGAGGAGCCGAAGGGAGGAAGGAGGAAGGAGAAGAGCTCTGATAAAATCTTAGAACACCTTAGAACCCTCACCTGGCAGGTGGAGAAGAACACCCAACAAATGACACCCATGAGCAGTCCCACGGCAAAACACGCCCTCTCATATCTCCCGGCAAAACACGCCCTCTATCCATATGCAGTCTCCTCACTTTGTGTTGGTCTCTCCACTTCAGCATCCAAATATCCACTTTCAGCCCTCAAACAAATCTTTGTTTCTGTCGGACCCAAGTGTCTCCAGCCGAGAAGACGGGCCAAAGGACGCTGGAAAGGCTTCCAATTGGTTGTTTTGTAAGTCGAGTTGCCTTAGTTTCTGTTTGACTCCTTTCAAAAGCTACATGAAAGGCAAGTAAGTAATATATCCATGAATGCAACGGAGCATGGGTGTTGTTTCGCGTAGAAACACGGGGTGTCCTGTCGCAGCCACTCGGAGCCACGGAAAGCTTGAAACAGTTGTAGCTGGTGAAAGCTGGTCACGTGCTAGTTGGAGCACTTGACATGTTGCTCCAACCGTGCCCAGTCCAGGGCCGTTGACCGCCTATCCTGAAGACACCAACCGTTGGATGAGCCCACCCCAAGCCACCGCACCTGTCCGCGAGCGTGCGCGTGCCCCAAGTCCAGGAGACCCAAAGGCCCTCGCGAAGAGCGAACACAACTCATGGATGCTCCTGGTAGGTCTCCCAGTTCCAATACACATCCAACTTGCTCTATCAAACCTGCCAAATGAATGAACCTGCCAACTTTGCGTGAATGAACCTACCAAGGATTCTCTTTGTTCAATCGTGCATCCCAACATCGATATCTGAAATGATGGAAAGATTTGGGAGGTATGCCAATGTCGCGCGTGACGAAACTGCGTCCTCACTCTTTGATCAAAATTCACCTGCGATGAATCAGCTAAACAAATAAAGCTAAAGCATGCAACAACTGTTTGCATCGGTTCACCTAGCTACCCCTTAGTTTCACATCTCGTCAAATCAGCAGGACCCTTCCTCAAGAGTCACAACAGTGGAGAAAGCCCTGCTGAAAACTGCACGGTACTTTCCCAAAATCTGGGCGTCTTCCACCACATGCCTCTTGTAAACATATGTTTTAAACCTTTTCGAGCTTGATCCCTACCGCTTTCTATTGCGACTCGCAGAGCCAAGTCCACTAGCCGAGCGGCTTCAAGCTCTGCAAGTTGCCCAAGGACTCTGGCAGGGAGCTCAAGTTGTTACTGCTCAAATGCAGTTGCCTCAATTCTGGGACGCTAACCTGCTCACTGGCTAGATGGCACGCTGGGAGCCATACGGAGCTTCAAAAGGTCTTCTCAGTTTCACCCCATCACAATAACATATCATTGGATCCCTGAATGATGATGTGAACTGCCCAAGGAGTGTTTGCCGTGTTGGAGAACACCCTGGTAGTCGACGTCGGTGGGGGGATGCTGCGGCGTCGGGGGCGTACAATCAAACCTGATCAGCCATCAAACCTGTTTGTCAAACGCGTTTCAGTCCGTGGTGAGTTGACGCAATCTAGAAAATTGCACTTGTCAGTGTACAAGTAACACTCAAGGAACAAACAACGCTATGGCGCCTTTCCTAAACATGGCCAATTGTACATTCCACAGTGCGTTGATTCAAAGGTTCGATCATTCACTTTGAACAATCGCCATATGTCGCCTGATGTGAACTGACGTTGGCGCAAGCTGTGGGAAGGAGCCAAAAGCTGGTCAACCCTTCAAAGTCTATGAAGATCCGTGAAGGGAACTGGTCAACTTCTTTCAAATCCCTCTTTCCAATCCGGGATCCCGTTTCGACTCCAAGCTGGGTCTTTTGGGGGCTATTGGGGGCGCCCAAGGCGCTGCAAGGTTTGCAGGTTGCACACGGACTCGGGCAAGAAGCTCAAGCGGTTGTGGCTCAAACGCAGTTGCCTCAAGCAGTTTGGAGGCCCTGACCGGAGACACAAAGCTTTGGTTGCTCACTGCCTGTTTTGCACGAGGCAAAACAAACAAGAGCCTGATGGCCTGATGGTATCCTCAAGAGTCCTTACATGTCCTGACTGTCCTCACTTGTTCCATGCCGGTCCGGTGGGTATACTTTCGATACTTTTTGGGATACACGTACCGATGCCCAAGGGCTCCCGTACGTATGCAGCCAAAGTGGCTTTAAGCTCTGCAAGTGGCCAATGGAAGCCGGGAGCGAGCTCAAAAGGTTGTTGCTCAAGCGGAGGTCCCTGAGATGAAGCCGCGGAGATCACAAGAGGGACCGAAGAAGCCAACCAAATCCCTGTTGAGTCCAATCAACGTGGAGATGGAATATAGCCGTGGCAGGCCAAACACGATCGCCTGAGATGTGCTTGGAACATAATATGTCAAGTGTGTAACTTCATACGAAAGCATTACTGAAAGCATTATATACCTAAAACCAGCTCCATGGCATGGTCGGTGTTTTGTTTCTACCGTCTTTCGATGAAGTGTGGAGATTTTTTAATGTTGTAGCTGATGGCAACCTGTTCGCACTTAGAACAAGATCGGACGCGGCCAAGCTCGGCCAAACGAGGCGCTTGTACGCCAATTTCACAGGCTGAACTGAGGCGCAAGCGTTGACGTCATAGACCAGTATGGTAAAGGTCTAAGGAACTTACCAGCGCCCTCGACACCCATCTAAAACGTTTTGTTCAGCTGAGCCTTCCATTTCCATGTTTGGATAATGGCCCAGTAGCGATGCTTGGTGATTTCCTTCATAAAGCCTAAGCGCTCCCGGCTCCCTGTGTCCCATCAAGCTGAACCAGTCTTCCGGCTAGATCTTCGGCAAGCAAGAGTCTGCAATCTCTGCAAGTTACCCAAAGACTCTGGCAGCCAGCTCAAGATGTTGTTGCTCAAATCAAGGTTCCTTGCTCGTGCAACAAAAAGTCATGTTTGCATGCTTGGTTCTAAATACTGCCTTCTAAAACTATGCAGCTGTGCAAGGTATCTTTTTGCACTGCCCTCAGCAAGTTCTCACAACACGCATGCACAAAATACAATATGAAAAACGGCTGGTCACAATGGGCAACTGGGTTTGAAGGATTCTGCGTCCCCCCTCAAAAGAAAAGAAAGTGCGAGACCGGGCACCCCCCCGGAAAAACACATTTAAGTGCAGTTTATGAAGCTCTGTGGACACGCCTTCTCCACAACGAAAGGAATCGTGTCTCGGCCATGCCTCGGAACGTCTCTCAACCGAGGGGCACCAAGCTTCGCACCTGGCCCAAGGACTCAGGCACAAGGCTGATCTTGTTGTTGTTGAAGAACATATACCTCCATCCCAAGCGAAAGTAAACATCTCAGTAGCATCCTTCCGCGAGCAAGCTGGCTACAGTTCCCCAATCAAGGACATAAACACGACTACTAATCCCTTATATAGCATCTTGTAGCGCGGAGTAGAGTAGGGGCTTCCGTGTGGGACGCAGCCGGACGCGGAGTACGCAGCTTCCGAATCGGAGCAGTTTGGCGATTCCAACCCTGTTGCGGGCCATCCAGGCAGCTGTTTGCCCTCCCAAAGTGCTTCGAGGCTTGTGGCGACGCGGCTTCGACGGGAAGCGGTCGGGAAACGGTCGGGAAACGGGTTCTTTCTCGCCTGGTGATCTGTTTGGGTTGGTCAAGTCATGGGTCGCACAGCGAATTGCCACAGAAACGCAACACACAGAAGAACTGCATCGTTGGCATGTCAAATTGCTATGCTATGCCTAGCCTAAGGGTCAAGAGGCTTATGTTTTTCACAACGCCAAAAAACTCGTTTGAGTATGGAGTATGTCTCAATTCATCAGCACGATCAAGATCAAACAACAATCCCCCAGCACTTGTGACAGAGTCTCCACACCTTTTTCCACTCTGACCCTCTGTCTTTAGAACTCTTTATATATGTATATGAGCTGGAAACTCGTGCCAAAGGGCTTGCTGAGTAGAAGGTATCTACACTCAGCCTCCCCTGCAACTGTAGGGAGACAAAGTTCCCAGTTTCCCTCTCCTTCCCCCCAGCTGACTCCTTCTCCCCACCCAGCTGAATTGCAGAAAACCAAAAAGGCAGTCGAGGGGCCAGCTTTGCAAGTTGCCCAAAGACTCTGGCAAAGAGCTCAAGGTGTTGTTTATAGCGCCAAAAAGCCTCATCACAGCAAACAAAGCGGGCTTTGATCATGAGGGCATGGGCAAAAGGGGACCGAAGCTTGCAAAACCCAATGCAAATATATATAATATATATATAATGTGCCAATGATCAGGCAATACATGCAATATCATGCAAATACACTTGATTGATCTTGATTGTAGCTTTTTCTGCGGCAAACTAGTTTATAAACAATAAATAGGTATCTATAAAATGATTTACTAAGTTTTTAATTGTTTTTTTAAATACAATGAAACACCCATATAAAATGACCGGGTCAGGATCCCACAATATGTGGCTTGATTGAATGTCACATATTTGTTTATACAATGAAAAAACAAAAACAAAGGCCCAAAGGATGAGAAACATGGACTTATATAAATCGACCTGTTCAAGAAGCACACATAGTTTATATATAGTGGATTGAGAGGACCAATGGCACAAACCCCAAGAGGTGGTTTATATGAACCCCGCATTGAAAGGACATCGGTTTCGGTCTGTGCCATCTACTTTGAAACCACTGTAAAATGACGTGTTCAGGATTGGCACACACTTTTGCATGGCTCAAAGTCGTTTACGCTCAAATTCAGAGTCAAAATCTTACCCTGCAGCCTGGCAGAATGCACATCTTCATTGTGTGTGGTGACCGTGTCTAGCAGAAACTGTCGTATCATGTAAGCTGCCAAACTGTTTGTCTTAATAGCATGAGCTTATCAGCGCATTCCTCAATTCAGTTGATTCTCTATAAATTGACCTGTCCAAGATCAGCATTGAATTCTGCTCAAAGTCTTTCGTCCACCAGATGTTTTTAAATTTGATGCAGTCAGCATTGAGCGGCTAGATCGGACTAACATATTTCAATATAGATTGAACATGCCGTCGTTATGTTGAAACATCATCTGAAAATCTCAGAATATAGCCTTATAACATGACCACTCTGATGCAAAACATACTCATTTCATTTCAGCTTTCAGCTAGAATCAAGGTGATATGCAATAATATATATATATATGATCTTCCAAACCCCTCTTCTCGTCAATTCCTTCACATCCCACCCGGTCTTCTCCGCTCGGTCCTGAAGTTCGAGCCGTCCCAAGGAACTGCAACTGCTGCAGGTTGCCCACGGACTCTGGCAAAACGCTGATCATGTTATTGCTGAGGTCCAACCACCTGGCAAACTGCCCAGAGAGAACACTGCGGATTTGAAAGATTCGGATCAAACCAAGTTGCGGCAATCCAAGAAACAAAACAAATAGCTGCAGGGAACGGCAGCATGGACATTGTCGGCACAGAAAGCAACGTGGCTGGTCCATAGGTCAAGGTGAATTCCTCCTGTCAAGTACTGTCAAGTTCCGACCCGCAGGCCGGAGGCTTTTCATATCTTCTTATTCCATGCGAAAGTACGACCGAACAAGCGAAAGGCGATAGGGTGAAAGGATGCGAAAGGCATGATCCTTGAGGTGACTGTCACCCCGGTTGTGTCCGAGTCCTCATGGTCTGTTGTCAGAAATCAAAGCAGCAAAGCAGTCGGGTGGCCTGAGGCTCTCCAAGCTGCCCAACGACTCCGGCAAAGAGGTTAGCTTGTTGTTCTTCAAGTACAAATACCTCACACTTACTTGGTTCACCAAAAACGCGAGTCACACAGGAGTAGGAAGTTTGAGCAAAGCATCGTGTGTTAACTGCTGCTTCGTTCTGAAATCGCAAAGCGCCGCAGAAACTGTCGGAGCCTTTCTGAGCATGTTCTTACTCTAGGTTTTGGCGCAGCGGTTCACTGATCCATGTTTTGGCGCTCTAGGATACACGGTTTTCGAGGAAATCCGTGGGTGACTCTTTCAGATATTAAGGCACCCAGCTTCTTTCGATGCCGAGCGGCTTTAAGCTTTTCAAGTTGCACAAGGACTCAGGCAAAGAGCTGAGTTCGTTGAAGCCCAAGTAGAGATCCCTGAAGTGTGGTGAGCAAAGTTGGAGGTGACCAAGTCTGACGGAGCTCATATGTCTGTCTCAACAAACACATATCATATTGGGGTCTACTATGGTCTACTGGATCATGTGACATCTCCCATGACGCACCTCGAATGTCATTGGATGTAAATAGAACAGAAAGGAAGAAAGGAAGGTCTAACGTCCAAAGGTCTACCTGGTGATCAACACAAGGGAAAGGTCAACCATCTACAACCATCTTTCCCAAAACAAGGGAATTCGCATGGATTCACCCATAGGGAGAATCAGAGTAACACATCATACTAGGCCCTAGGCAAAGCCAAACAATGAAGAACAAGGGTTGACATCACGCTTGTGGCAGAATGGAGTCTGTGGGCCTATAGTTAGATGCATCAGGTGGCTGCTTGGCCTAGACGACATGCAAATTCGCTCTGCAGCAAGTGCTGCTCTGAAGGTGAGCTCCTTCCACAATCATGTACTTCCATAAAAAAATCCTAACAACCTTGCTTCTACCGACGCCCTCAGCACGAAATAGACCACAAGTTCTACCCTTTCTCAGTTTTGTCCAGCGACCACCAGTTCTGCCCGCTTGTTCCTCGTGCCTCGCTCCTCGCTTCTGGGCCAGGGAGCTGTAAATGCTGTAGCTGGCCCAAGGAATGTGGCAAAAAGCTGATGGTGTTGTTGAACAATCGAAGCTGCCTCAGTTGCCCTTTTGCGACCGACCTGACCTGGCGACCTCTGGAACAAGGTCGGCCACGTCGTGGGCCCAACAGGGAAATGCGCCCTCACATTCTCAACCAGGAGAAACCCAGGCTTGGCTTTGGGATAAAGACTCTGATGGGCTGCAAGGAAGATGCGCGGGGACATCATGGATGACTGGAACAAAGTAACCGATCGCTGGTCCACTTTGTAGGAAAGTCACCCAGCCTTGGCGGGGGAGTATTTCTAAGCCAACGCAGCCCCGAGACTATCTGTGGATTGTCTTGGCTATTGAAACTATAGCCTCCAGCCAGGCTTCGCCGGGATTCTTTGCGTACTTCGCGACCTGTGCCAGAACCCCTGGATGCGGACTGCCTGTGAGGTCCACAAGGAGTTGACGGTGCAGCCAATCGACGGCCCCATCAGCAGGGCCGTCGCATGGTGACGTAGGGCCGTCGGTGGCGGTCTTACCGATGGATGTGTCAAAATGCTGCCCCTCCTCAAAACAATCACGATTTTCGTGGAGTTTGAGCAACACCCTGGCCAGTTCCGCTTCATCCTTGGTATCTTTGATAATACCAGGTTGCTTCCTCAATCATCCTCACCATGTAGTGGCCGACTTGCTTGTGCTCCCTTTCCCGCACTTTCCCCCGGTCCTAGTCACCCCACAGTGGAAGCCAAGTCCAGCTAAGGTGCTGCAAGCTCTGCAAGTTGCCCAATGACTCTGGCAAAGAGCTTAATCGGTTGTGGCTCAAATAGAGCTGCCTGAATTCGATCACATGCTGAGAATGCTGACGCAAGCCGCTGAAACTAGCCCCTGGAGGCAATGATGTACCGCATGATGTACCTCATATATGGAGAACATGGATGATCACACTAGTCTGCCACCCCTTCATTCCAATCGAACAAGTCTGTGGGTGAAAGCATTGCACGTGCCGTGCTTCTTACGTGCGGGGAACACAGTTACTCAGTTGGACCGAGTACGGAGAACGCTTACTACACATGACAAATATGACCAATATCAAATAACAAGGACCTATAGTTTCATTTGGTTAAGGTCCTGGTTGCCAAGGTCCTTTTTCTTAAAGAGAACACATCGGATTTTCCCTTACAACGCTATCAGTCCACCATGCCACACTCCGATTCGGAGTACGGGTCCGAGTCTTGGTCAGGTCGTCACGGCTCTGGGCCCGAAGTCCATGAGCGGCTTCACCCAGAGAACTCGGGCCATGCTCAGCCAATGAACAGTGTGGAACTTCCAAAGCCTAGCGCCTAAGTGGAAGCCCAAGGATGGTGTATTCGGAAAGTCGGGATAGGACTGAATCGACGGCGAGACGGAGCCGTCCCAGGTGAATGACGGTGTTCGCAAAAAACAGATAGATCGGCAAATGATGTGTATCCAGAAAGGCAGCAACGGAACTCATTGCGGTGATAAACAAAACAAGTTCTGGGAAACTTCCACTTTGCTTGGGGAAAAAGGCTAGATCTTTCGCATGTTTGGTCAAATGTTTGGTCACAGGACGCACCCGTCCAATTTACTTGTTTTTCTGCCGCAACCTTTTTTGCGGCCGGGGAACTGCAAAGACTGCAATCTGCCCAAGGACTTCGACAGGGAGCTTAACTCGTTGTTGTTCAAGTAGAGTTCCCTCAGTATGAATGACCATGGTCGCGCGCTTGTTCGTTCAACACATGCGTTTTTTGGTCATATCGGCAACTCTTGAAAGCTCGCAAGTGAGAATTGGAAGGTATGCAATCCATGATGCAAGCAATGGTGCACATGAGTGTGCTTCGACACATGCGCTATGTGTGGAGCTTTTTGCTCACTCATTCAAGGTGACATTGCCACCGGACGAGCAATGGTGGGTCGAGGTGTGACGAAATCGTACGAAATCCAACCGGACGTGCAGCATGGCCAGGATGCAAAAGATGGAAACACACAAGAACCCAACATTGGCGATGTGACTGGCTAATTTGTCACAACATTTGTCTGAATCATATTCTACCAGGAGTTACAAAGAGATAGCTTTTTGACGCCAAGTGAGTGGTTCATGAGCACCTGCTTTCTTCCTTTGGACCCTCTAGAGTATGCCCTGGTATGTCTGAACACTCACAACATCCCACCGACAGAATGGGAGGACTGCCCAGCACTGCGGAATGGAGCTCCCTTAGGTTTTGATGCAGAACTGGAGCTGATCATTAACTGTGAACAGCACGGATGAGAAGACGGGCTTGATGATGGTATCTACATGTATCTACCCTATGTGCTTTGGACCCAGCTCCCAGTCTCCAGCTGAAGCGCTGTAAGTGCTGCAAATTCCCCAAGGAGTCTGGCAAAGCGGTGATCTTGTTCCCGATCAAGTACAAATACCTCATGGAAACATGTGCGGCATTGAAACTGACACATGTGCGGCATGTAGAAGCTCCTGGGACTCAAAAGTCCAAATGTGCATTCCATTCCGCTGTAACACTGCATCAGCAGAATCTCCTCCAAGAAAATGGCGATCATCATCATCTATGTCACGCCAATTCTGTGCAGTCTGCTTGGAGTGTGGACAATAGGTAGTTTTCTGGGGGAATCGAACTGAGTGTACATGGATCCTACCAGCTGCTTCCAACGGATCACCAATTGACAACCCTACACCACTTATAGGTCTCCAAACAGGGCACCCATTCGAAGTGCTACGTACTTTACATTCATTGCCCACCCGCTGAACCAACCGAGCTCAAGTTCCGGGCTGGGGGGTGCCTCACAAAATTGAAGAGGGTTCCCAGAGTGTGTGTCTCTATCGAGTGTCTCGTTACAAATGCAACAAGCCCATGATGGCCCATAGCATCAAGTGCTGATTTCACACAGAGGTGTATTGAACAATGGATGACCTAGGGTATGACCGGTGCGTATGGCATGCTGACCTATAACATCTATAACTTTTTCGATGGAACGAAAGAAACTCTTTTTGTTTTTCTTCCATCTGTAGCTGCACGAAAACGGCGAGGGGCTGTAAGCTCTGCAAGCTGCCCGCAGACTCCGGCAAAGCGCTTAACTGGTTGCCGCGCAAGTCCAAATGCCTTAAGCGAGGCGGCCAGTCTGTGTTTTCTCCCAAACCGTGTGGTCACACTAGACCGACTAGACCTGTCACTGTAGACACTGACAGGGGTCTCTTGACAGGTGTGTTTGTCGGCTGACGTTCGGAAATGTGTTGGCTGCTTGCGTTGTTCGCGTCGAAGGCTGATGCTGGGTAACAGCTAAACTCCCTTCACATCCGTTCGGAACGACCAAGCCTTAACCGGCCAAGGGATCAAACAATAATATGAGGGAATCAACCAAATATCATCCTGAGGGGATCAATAACATTTACTATGGTGATTAACAAAACGCGAGTCACACAGGAGTAGGAAATTTGAGCAAAGCATCGTGTGTTAACTGCTGCTTCGTTCTGAAATCGCAAAGCGCCGCAGAAACCGTCGGAGCCTTTCTGAGCATGGCTTTTACTCCTCCCAGCTCTGGGCGCAGCGGTTCACTGATCCGTTTTTTGGCGCTCTAGGATACACGGTGTTCGAGGACTCTTTCAGGTCCAAATGTCTTCAGGGTGCAAAGGCTGACAGCCTCTTTCGATGCCGAGCAGCCTTAAGCTTTTCAAGTTGCACAAGGACTCAGGCAAAGAGCTGAGTTCGTTGAAGCCCAAGTAGAGATCCCTGAAGTGTGGTGAGCAAAGTTGGAGGTGACCAAGTCTGACGGAGCTCATATGTCTGTCTCAACAAACACATATCATATTGGGGTCTACTATGGTCTACTGGATCATGTGACATCTCCCATGACGCACCTCGAATGTCATTGGATGTAAATAGAACAGAAAGGAAGAAAGGAAGGTCTAACGTCCAAAGGTCTACCTGGTGATCAACGCGACGGAAAGGTCAACCATCTAGAACCATCTTTTCCAAACCAAGGGGATTCACATGGATTCACCCATAGGGAGAATCAGAATAACACATCATCCTAGGCAAAGCCAAACAATGAAGAACAGGGGTGACATCACGCTTGGCAGAATGGAGTCTGTGGGCCTATAGTTAGATGCATCAGGTGGCTGCTTGGCCTATATGACATGCAAATTCCGATTCTACCCTTCGCTGCACAAAGTGCTGCTCCTTCAGGCCATTTTGAAGGGCCAAACTGCTCTCAAGGTGGGTTCGTTCCACAATGTCACTGTCCTTCCAAAAGATCCTACAAAACAACCTTGCTTCTACCAGTTCTGCTCGCTCCTCGCTCCTCGCTCCGCGCGTCTGGGCCAGGGAGCTGTAAATGCTGTAGCTTGCCCAAGGAATCTGGCAAAACACTGATGGTGTTGTTGATCAATCGAAGCTGCCTCAGTCGCAAAGGCCCTCTTAGACCTGGCGACTTCGTGCGATGCCTGGAACAATGTCGGCCACGGCTGCAAGAAAGATGCGCGGGGACATCGTGCTCTCGCGCAAGTATGGAGAGCCGATCACTAGTCCACTTTGTGGGAAAGTCACCCAGCAAACGGTCTGAGAATGCCTTGGTGGGGGAGTATGTCAACGTAGCCCCGAGACTATCTGTGCATGTGGATTGTCTTGCCTATTGAAACTATAGCCTCCAGCCAGGCTTCGCCGGGATTTTTTGCATACTGCGCGACCAGAACCCCCGGATGTGGACTGCCTGGAGCTTACTGTAATTCGTTGTTGTTCAAGTAGAGTTCCCTCAGTATGAATGACCATAGTCGCGCGCTTGTTCGTTCAACACATGCGTCTTTTGGGGTCATATCGGCAACTCTCGAAAGCTCGCAAGTGAGAATTGGAAGGTATGCAATCCATGATGCGAGCCATGGTGCACATGAGTGTGCTTCGACACATGCGCTATGTGTGGAGTTTTTTGCTCACTCATTCAAGGTGACATTGCCACCGGACCAGCAACGGTGGGTCAAGGTGTGACGAAATCATACGAAATCCAACCGGACGTACAACATGGCCAGGATGCAAAAGATGGAAACACAAAAAAAAACCAACATCTGTCTCATTGGCGATGTGACTGGCCAATTTGTCACAACATTTGTCTGAATCATATTCCACCAGGAGTTACAAAGATATAGCTTTTTGACACCAAGTGAGTGGTTCATGAGCACCTGCTTTCTTCCTTTGGAACCTCTAGAGTATGCCCTGGTATGTCTGAACACTCACAACATCCCACCGACAGAATGGGAGGACTGCCCAGCACTGCGGAATGGAGCTCCTTTAGGTTTTGATGCAGAACTGGAGCTGAATAACTGTGAACAGCACGGATGAGAAGACGGGCTTGATGATGGTATCTACATGTATCTACGCCCTATGTGCTTTGGACCCAGCTCCGGTCCCAGTCTGCAGCTGAAGCGCTGTAAGTGCTGCAAATTGCCCAAGGAGTCTGGCAAAGCGGTGATCTTGTTCCCGCTCAAGCACAAATACCTCATGGAAACATGTGCGGCATTGAAAATTGACGCATGTGCGGCAACATCATCATCTATGCCACATCACATCATCAACATCATCCGTCTGCTTGGAGTGTGGACAATATTTAGGTAGTTTTCTGGGGAATCGAACTGAGTGTACATGGATCCTACCAGCTGCTTCCAACGGGTCACCAATTGACAACCCTACGCCACTTATGGGTCTCCAGTCCAAACAGGGCACCCATTGGAAGTACTTTACATTCATTGCCCACCCACTGAACCAACCGAGCTCAAGTTCCGGGCTGGGGGGTGCCTCACAAAATTGAAGAGGGTTCCCAGAGTGTGTGTCTGTATTGAGTGTCTCGTCACAAATGCAACAGGCCCATGATGGCCCATAGCATCAAGTGCTGATTTCACGGGGAGGTGTATTGAACAATCGATGACCTAGGGTATGACAGGTGTGGCTGACCTATAACATCTACAGTATAACTTTTTCGGTGGAACGAAAGAAACTCTTTTTGTTTTTCTTCCATCTGTAGCTGCACGAAAACGGCGAGGGGCTGTAAGCTCTGCAAGCTGCCCGCAGACTCCGGCAAAGCGCTTAACTGGTTGCCGCGCAAGTCCAAATGCCTTAAGACTCCGTCGCTGCGCTCCGGTGCTTGGACGCTCGCAGCGGCTGCCGAAGCCGAGGCGGCCAGTCTGTGTTTTCTCCCAAACCGTGTGGTCACACTAGACTGACTAGACCTGTCACTGTAGACACTGACAGGGGTCTCTTGACAGGTGTGTTTGTCGGCTGACGTTCGGATGACGATCGGGCTGCTTGCGATGTTCGCGTCGAAGGCTGATGCTGGGTAACAGCTAAACTCACGTCACATCCGTTCTGAACGACCAAGCCTTAAAGGGCCAAGGGATCAAACAATCATATGAGGGAATCAACCAAATATCATCCCCAGGGTGATCCAAAAGTACTTGCTGTAGCTGTAGGGTGGCTCAAAGAGGGTATGCCGGGTATACCTGCATTGGAATGACACTGCGCCCGCTAGATTGGTGATGGGTCCAGTAATACCTTCCTTTCTTTCTGTGATATTGATTTGTGTTTGATCCTGCTATGTCGATTCGTTGTCGATTCGAACAATAATTATTGTTTTATTATTGTCGATTCGAACAATAAGTGTTTTTTTTTTTATACCCATGCCCTTGAAAGCACCTGTTGCTACAACCGACCATCACATACCGCCGCCAGAACCACTCCGAAATCGTTCTTCAGACGAGCGAAACCTCCGAAAGCTTCGGGAACCTTCGGCTGGCCAAGGAGCCGCAAGTTCAGCAAGTGGCCCAAGGACTCAGGCAATGAACTCAAGTTGTTGCCGTCCAATTGGAGTTTCCTGGACGAGGCGAGCTGCGTCGAGCTGGGTTTCATCACGCACTGGGGAACCCAGTGAAGTCTGTGAAACACTCTCTTTTCAGTACCTCAGACTGGTCAGACTCGGTCGGACCCTGGACAGGCCCTATCACTTCGCGAGTGCCTGTGGTTGTTGGACGATGACGTTGGAGCTTTCACATGGCGTTGGGGTCCACCCGGTGTGTTCCACCAGAACCCGCATAGACTCCGTGGCACTCACACATCACATGGAAGTGGAATCCACCCCTGTTCAGGAACATATGTTCCACTTCGGTAACAAGTCACATACTGGCATGAAAACGCCAGCAGGATGGGTCATGATAGCCCCTTTGTTGAGGAAACCGAAGGGCACGAATCTATCTCGATCTATCATAAGCAATCATCATCTGATCACTAATTAAGCAAGTCAGTGGTCTCATGATGTCTATCAACCTCCTGCAAATGACCTGGTGTGACCTAGAGACCCCACAAGCGTCCACCAATGCCCCTCATCAACACCGTCCCACCGTCCAAATCTCGCTCTGCCCTGCTTGCAGCCCAAAACGCGCCAAAGACCTCAAGTCTCCGATCGCCTGCGGTAGCCGCTGCCAACCGCATCTGGAGCACTCCAGCCGGATCACGTGGCCCTCCGCGCACGTGACATGCGGGGTGTGGCAGAAATCCTTGGAGCCCCGGCAGCTTCGGAGCCCGGGAGCGTGCCGGTGGTGGCTGGTTCACACCAAAGAACTGAATACTTCACAACAAGTGCAACGCTTTTTGGCCCCAGAAAATAGCAAAAACACGTCACCTGAACGCATGTTGCGCTTCTCCCAAAGGAACTGTGTGGCCGTCCGCGAGCGGAAAAAGCTCTTGCAACACCTTCTGCTCCTGAGATCCAGGGGCCACGGAGCAAGAAGTTACTAGCAAGATCAGCTAGTAGTTGGACACCATCGCTATTAGGTTGGAGGCCATCGCTATTAATTAGGTTGGAGGCTATCGCTAGAAACAAGAAGCTATACTGGGTGGATTTGTGGCGAGGATCGGCACCCAGCCCGGCCTTGAGCCCGAGTGGCGAAGACCAAACCCCGAGGCTTGGTTCAGATCAAAGGGAAGGGATCGTCCCATCAGATCTCGGAGATTTATCCAAAAGCCTTCCAACTTGAATCATTCTTGACTAAGAAATGAGAAGGAACTGTCTGGAACTACCGTTGAACGCCTCCAGCACCGCGTCGACCCCGAATTCGGGTCTCCCGGAAAGGCAAGGGCGTGGCGGAACTCCCCCGCAGAGTGCTGACGTACATGGCAGCGCCGCACAAAGCTTTCATGGCAGCGCTCAAGGGGTTGCCACACGAAGGATCAGTTACACTGCCCCGTGAGGCAAACGGTCAGGTTTCCAGGAAACCTTGAATTTTGTGCTGTGAAAAATATATGGCGCTAGAAAGTAATTGCAAACACACAGTCGCGCTGGTGGCATTGACGGAACTCAGAGCTGGGGAGAGATCTTTCTGCGCCGTTCGGAGTTCGGAAGGCCATGCTGCGCCTTCTTTTTCGAGGTGAAAAGGCGGTGGAACTGGGGGATTCTTTCAGTGCAGGCCCCTAGGCTGCTGTGCAATTTGTGAGATGCAGCCTTGCTCCTGAAGACACTGAGAACAGGACATCATCACTGACTGTTGCGCTTCTGCTGCCCTCTTGTGCTCTTCTACCTGCTCGACGGTACAACACACTGGGTGGAACCTTGCAATAGGCGCAGCTTTCCACTGCTGTGGTGGAAAATTGGTGAGACATAGGCTCACTGTTGAGGAAGGTACAAGGTACGGAGGTAAGATACATTGAAAGTCAGTGCCCTGTCTTCGGTAAGTAGTGACCGGTAGTGACTTTGGTCTTTGAGCCTGCAGCTACTTCGCAGCGGCTGCGAATGACATGACCGATTTGGTCAGAACCACACTGCTTCTTAAACGGTGTGGCCATTGGTTGGCCAGGTCCACAGACCTTACTCAATATGCAAATCAAAAAAAACAGTTAAGTTAAACCTGGTCTTTGCCTCCTTGAGTAGTGTTTTAAACATGATCAACTCCCATCAAATCCAGTGCCCCCAACCTGCAGGGTACTCCTCCACCGCAGCTATGGACCGGATAGAAGCAAACCGGTGTCACCAAACCCCTTCCGGGCGGGTGCAGATATGCATGTCGCGTCGGAGACGATCCTTTTCCAGTTCAATTCACCTTTTCCAGGGTCCCCAAAAGCGCCCATCAAGTCCAGATTCAGATGCCAGATTCTTTCTGCTTTAAATGTTAAATGTTTATATAATTATGAAACATATTATCATGATCTTAAACTTTTGACCAACTTTAAGAATTTTCAAACACCTCCTCAGCATCCCCCATGTGATCCACCGACAGCGCTCCCGAGCCGCGCCGCTCTCGCTCTTTCTGATGCGAGCACGTTGACGCTTGGCCGAGAAGCACTCGGCTCACCGCCACATCATCTCAACAGCTTGATCCACCTTGCTGCTCAGCAGCGGCTACGGTTCACGGCTATCATTCAATGTTGAGGATTGAAATTCTTGCCACACAACGCCGCACATATTTACTGGCATGTTGAAATGGACATATTAAATGGAACCTCAAGCCAAATACCAACCCACTGCTCTCCTCCTGCCCACTCGTCTCCAAGGCCGTGTTCTCCACTGAGTCCTCCAAAATGCTTAGAGTGACCTGTCTGGCCGACCTTCGTGACGGACCTGACCCACGCCTTCCGAAGTGACGCCCCCCGGCGTCGCCCACAGCGTCGCTCGGGAACGCGGCGTCACGCGCCCGCCGCCGCCTCGTTGTCACGCGCCGCCGGCACAGGCCGTGGGAGGAGGCGATTGGCTTCGCAAAGGAAAAGCACAAAGGTCAAAAGCAACAAGGAACGAGCCATGCTCGCCAAAGCAGTGAAAGCAAACCAAAGCCTCGGTCTGTGCTTGGGTGTTGAAGCGATTGCTGTACGAAGAAAGGGAGGTATAGGGATGTGAAAAATACATGTGCTGAAAACTCAGTGGAAGAGGTGGGATTTAATTAAGGATTCTTGTGGGATGGACATTATGCATTCTTGCCCTCTGATAGAAATGTCGCATACAAATCAACGTGGCAAAGGGAAGAGGCGATGCTCAGGGGGTCCGCGTCGGACCTGCGCAATGCCAAAGAAAGGTTGGTGTAGTGTAGCTGCATGCCTTGTGTCACACCTTGTTAACACTTGTTTAATAGGTTGCTTGTGCTTTCCCAAAGGAAAGTCAAAAAAGGCAACGTTGGTGCAAGGCTCCGGAAGACGCGCTTCCTCCAGGGCACTTGTGAAGTTCCACCTTTCTCAGCACATCAGGTGGGATATGCGTTTCCAAACCAGTAGCGTTTAAATCAGGTGGCCGGATTTTTTGGATACAAGTGCCCGTTTGAAGCATCTGCCAGCTGTGGAAATTGAAGGCTTCAGCCACATAAACCGGTTTCCTACCTTGCTCAAAAGGATCCACGCCAAGTGGCTAAAAGATCAGCAAAATGCCAACGCTGGCCTGCAGGTACTTTCGAGACATGCTGGCAGTCTCGCCATCCAGACTAGGCACCACGGCATGGAAATGCCGGCGGCCAAGCTGGACCAAAAGCAAATTGGTGCTTGCCGCCATGCCAGCGGCTGGCAGCAATAGCCTTTCCAGAAACCAAAACTGCTTGCGGAGCGATGCTGGCAAAACAAAGAACCAAATAAACCAACCCAAAGACCCAAATAGACCCAGTGAGCTTCGGGTCATTGACATTGCCTCCTTTTCGCAGGCGTTTTTGAGGCCGAAGAAATGGAAGAGGCTTTGAGGGTGTGGAGGGTCCAAGCCCGGGTCCATGCAGGGTCGAACAGATTCTTAGGGTAGAAAATGCATGAACCTTGGGGACGACGGCATGATCTCCAGAAGAATGTGCGCAAGTCAACGGTTCTTTTTCTACTTTCAATGGGAGCAATGCCGTGACCCAAGGGCAAAGAAAGCTCCACAAGAGTCACAAGAGCCTGAAAACATGCAAACAAAACAAAGCCTATCGTCATACAATGCTTATACTGTATATGATGCATTGTGGTGATGCCATATTATGCCATAATTATGGGCCATATATCAGTTCACTTCAGTCACTTGTACGAACAGTTTCCTTTCTTGCATCGCTGAGTTCGCGCTCACGACACCTACCAAGCGACGGCACCAGGGGGCTCCAAACGATCACCACCTCCGCGAGCGTCACCAGTAAACTCGCTTGCGATCCGCGGTCCAAGCGTTTGCTCGTGCAAATCCTCCAGCGTCGAATACCTGAAGGGTCCCAGCATGCGGGGAGAGTAGTCAAGGCCGGGGTCACGGGTACCAGTAGGCAAACAACGAATCAAACTAAAAAAGACGACTGCAAAATATATAAGTGGATGGTGCCACATCAATTGGATTTCATATAACTTCATCACTTTCATGCGGTAAACGTTATACAACAGGCCAACTCAGAAAGCCATTGTGGTGCTGATAAATATCCTGGGTGACGCATGTTTCAACCGCACCTCTATTCCAATATATTCCAATACTCCACAGGTCTCAACCTATTCGTACGTACAATATGATGCAGCTTGTCAAGGCAACGACTGTCCTCCAACGCCCAGGAACACCGAAACTGGGACCGCCGCACGGGTTCGCCGTTCACTCAGTCACTCGGCGCGGTCACTCGGCGCGGTCACTCGGAGCGGTCACTCGGCGCACGTAAACCTCGGTCGGTCGGAACTCGCCTAGGAAGGCCAAGGGGAAGACATGGAGCTCACCGTTCACCTTCGCCGTTGGTCGTGGTCAAAACGCCCAACGCCGCGTGCACGAGAAAATGCACGACGACGCAACGGGCGAGTTTGTCATGACCCACCGGGGGGGGCCTTGGTGACGTGTGGCTTGAAATAGGGGTTTTGGTGTGCGGTTCCGTGGTGATGTGTGGTAAGTGAACGTGGATGAACAACCCCGCCCACGGCCCCACCCATGATGGGTTGCAATCAAAAATAATCCCAGTTCCAGGGGGGGCTGGTGTATGAATGGTGATAATGACAACTGGTCCTGGTCTTTGACTTGAGTTCATAACCATCTGCATCGATTCAGAGTCGATCGTGATCTTCAAAACCGGCCAGTTGAGCTCCAGTCGGGCATGGACACACAAAGGAGCACCAGTGAGCACCAGCCATAATCTAACAATATCTAACATATGACATCCAATAGTATTATAACTATAATGTATGATCAATTTTGTCCGCGTCCCAAGTATGCCAAAGTTCTAGCATGGGAGCTGTTTACCGTGGTTCTTGGTCAAAATTGACTGAGCAAAGGAGTAGTTTTCACCTTTTTCACCAAACTTGACAAAATTCATTGGTTTTATAAGTTTTATATATTCACAACAACGAACATGAATCTTACACCGTCTTCCAAGCGTTGGGCAGATTCTGCCACAAAGCACCCCCCTCCCAGAGCTTGATCGTCGCCTCCGTTGAGAGCTTCCAAAGGAACAACACGATGACCTCGTTCGGTTCGGGCCGTTTCGAGGGGTACACTGAGAGGACCTTCAGTCAATTCCGTCCAAGCCATGAATGGAAGGGTTGGCCATCGCAGTGCAGTAACGACACCAACCTGAACGGAATTAAGGAGCAGGAAACTGGTTGCACCATAAAATTTCAACACATTGAACAATTGATTGATAATTCAGTACCACTGGGTGGTCCAGGAATGAAGATGTTGGATGATGTTGGAATATCGGTCCATCTGCCAAATCTTATTCCAGTGATTTTGACTCCTGGAGCGAGAAACTCCGAAACTGCGCTCTTTTGACTTGAGGGTCTGTCCAAAGCATTCCGGTGGGCGCCGGGCGCCGAAATCATGTCCCTTCCGCATAGGAAGGCCCACCATGTTGGGGGAGGATTGTGTCCACAGCTGAGCTTGATGGACCCTGCTGTTTCCGCTCTCACTTGCCAAAACTGGTTGAATCAAATCCAGGTTTGCACAAACACGTCCTCAGAACTCTGGATCTCTGTCGTGTTGCTGTGGTTTTTATTTTGTTGCCCTTCCTCCAAACATGGAAGTGGAAAAGAACCCGTTTGTAAAGGAAAGTGGTCATCCAAGGGGCCATGCCATCCACTTCGATGGTGCTGGAGGGTCATATTATAGATTCTAGATTATTATATACCTCAAAGTTGAAGGAGAAGCCGCTGGCTGCAGAAACGCTCGCTGAAGCATCTTCACCAGAAACAGCGGCGCCAGCGTCTCCACCACGGACCGTGGGCAAGCCTAGGCTTGGATTGCCTGTCCAGGAATCTGAAAATAGAAACACACACACACACCACACATTCACGTTATAGAAGGGGGTCCCAACCACCTACCTATATAGGCGCGTTCCTGTCGGGGTGCCCTGTCTGGAGACCGGGCACCCGTGACGAGACCGTGACCATGGAGACCGCTAGGCCCTTTGGAGGTCTGGCAAGTCCGGCGCTTGGGACTTATCACCGGGAAGGACGAGGAAGCACAGCACATCGAAAGGTGCTGACATGTCAATGACCAGGTGGATTCCTTCGGGTTCCGGTGGCGGCTTCTTGGGTTTCACATGGGTTTAACTTGTAGAATTGGAGATTTCATGACCCGCAGCATGATGCACCAGCTCTCATCTGGTCTCTGAAGCAAAGCTGCTGCAAAAAAGAACGGACGTATAAACTTTCTCAGTGCATAGAAAGTTCTACTGTGGTCCCCTATAATAGATAAAAACGGTTTCCGATACACTTTTAGTGGGGATCTACTGTTCTATCTGTTTGGGGGTAGGAACAGAGTAGGACTTGTCAGGAAAACGACTGGAAGCTAAGCTACAGAGTTCTCCGTTCCCTTTTCGAGTCCGAGATGCGTCCTCCTTCCACCATCGATGATTCTCTGTGCCTCACGAACCAAAAGGGTCATGTGCACTCCTCCTCCATTCTCATAGTCCACAACTCATCTTCGATCTGATTATCTTCAGCTCCCATCTCCAGAACAAAAAGTCTGCTGTCATGTTCACCCATGCAATTGCCTGCTAGGTGTTGTGCATTTGCCGGCCCATGCTCACATGGCCCGCCATGTTTTTTTTTCCGCGTTCACCCGTGTTGTGAGACGATCTCTTCCAATGATGGGAGCCTCCTCGAAACTTGAGAAGTTGTCGCAACACGTCTCAGGCTCCGTGAAATATCGTCTGGACAAAGCCCCTTTCAAGTTCAACAGTTTTGAGGAAATTGATGCCGCCTCTCTTGTCCCACTTAGAGTCGAACAAACAGCACCATGCAAATCTCTCGACCCCCCTCACACAACGCAACAACCGTTTTATATCAATCAAAGTCAATCTATTGACAGGGCCCCTGAGAACAGCTTCCACACAGTCTTGGTCTAGGGACAGTGCAGTCGAGCCACATAAGTCTTGGATTGGATCCAAGAAACGATGATGTCCAAGGCGAACCTCGAACCGGTGATAGAGATCTGACGTTGGATCGCACATGGTCCAGAACCTAAGTCTCAGGATAGTCGTGTCTGATGAGGAAAAAATTGTTCATTGGGCACCCCGTGCTTCCAAGGTGTCCACCACCAGCAGTGGCACTAAGGTATTGTTCTCTTTTCAGAATGATATAATCCTGTCAATGACACCCTGCACACCTATTTTGGCTACAAGAAGCACAAGAAGTATAAACACCTTGGAGACTGAGAGACTCGTCCCCAGAAAACAAAGCTACAAAACTGCTACAAAGTTAGTGCTAGGGTCCCAGATTGTAAGCGATTTCTGCGGGGGTTCCACGATTTGACAAGGTTAGAGTTGGTGCTAAACACTGGCTCTGAAAGCATGTGCACGTCGCTTGTCCTGGACTTGTAGGGAGTTGGAAATTGCCCATCTAAGGTGCGCAGGATTGATATGAGGGGGGTGCGTCAATAAATCGGGTAGGTGGCAATGCGCGTTGAACCTGAGCGTGTGCTCCAGGGGTATGTTTCGGGGAATGCACAATCATCTATAGGTTCGAATTTTGTTCTTGCCATATACAAATATACAACAAGGCCTTAACACTAAGAAGTCAAGAAGCGTGGTCCATCCGCGCATGCAGTGTTCACTCATGTAGATGGCACAAAGAGTGGCATTGAGCCACATGGTGCCCGTATGTGCCGCCATCAAAAGCATGGAGCGCTGGATGCCGGAGCGGCGGGAGATGATCCTGGCCAAAGGCGGAGTGATGCCCATGTCCTGGGCAGGCGAGTCTGGGTGAAAAAGTTCCGCACAACACTTGCTTTAGCTTTACCCCCCCCAAACGCTCGAAACACCCCTTTGGTCCCTCCAAACCGATTTGAGACGCTCCAAACTTTGTCCCCCAAATGCTCCAAACACTCTTTTGGTCCCTCCAAACCTAGAGGGATTGGAGACGCCCAACCCTTCCAAAAGGGGGCTTCGGGTCCGACGAGCCGACGAGCCTTCGGGTGTGAGGTCAACCTGGGTCCAAGCAATCTGAAAAGCAGTTCAACATGGTTCAACCACCGATGTCCCTAGTCGCCTTAGGCTCTAGCCCGACCTTCCACAGTGTGGAGAGGCAGAGAGTCGAAAGCAAGAGTCGAAGCAGTCAAAATGGGCACCGGTGTGTACGTGTATACCCTCAAACTGTGTCAAAATGTCACTTAGAAGAATCAAGATGAGCCAAGTATAGACAAGTACAGTTGCCTATAGTGGGTTCTGTCATTGACTGTTAAGTTATCTTCTACTTTCGAAACTACTTGGGAACTACGCTGTTGGTCGCCTGGGTATTATTGGTGGTTGCGTGATGTATCCCAATAGAAGTGCGTGCACGACGAAAAGGGGCCGAAAAGTGCAATGTCAGAAGCTACTTTTTTCTCCTCATTCGGACCTCTTGAAGTGGTCGCCCAACTCTTGCAGCATCACATGCGGCTTCGCCGCGTGGATGCTTCTCCACTTATATCAAAGTCATCCAAGCAACCCCACTGAGCAGCGAACAAACACAAGAGCATAATTGATTGAAGACCTGATCTACTAAAGATCTACTAAACACCTAGGACCTAGGGGGCTGGGGCCTTACATCCCTTGCATCATCCACGTGGCATCATCAACGTGGCGTCCAAAGTGTGCGCCAGCCCGCATGGACGTTATTAGCCCCCACCCCACCCCATCCCCACCCCACGCACTCCGTGGCAACTTATCTCCGTGGCATCATCCACGTGGCATCATCAACGTAGCGTCCCAAGCGTGTGCCAGCCCACATGGACGTTATTAGCCCCCCCCCATCCCCACCCCACCCCATGCACTCCGTGGCAAGTCATCTCATCACCCAGTACACCTCAGTTTCCACCAGGCGAGAGGCAGCGCTGTTGGCAACTACTTCCGCACTTCCTTGAGCTCACAAACTCCCATCCGAAACAGGCCAGGTATGTCCGTAACTGCGTGGATGAAACACGTCCTGGTACGTATTGAGTTACAGAACTGATAAAAGCAAACACCCCTGGAGCATCCCAGCTTCAACACTGCAGCTGGGGAACATATTCCAGCCAAATTCTAGAATTCTAGCTTAAAATCCAGCAGAACATGGTGGTTGATCTAAATAGGAGCTTTGATCGTCCAGTTGGATCCGCGCGTCGATGAGAAGCATCAGCAGGGCAGCACCGCCATGGACGGCCTTTAAGACGCTGGTGCTCCTCGAAGACGGGAGAAGAGGGAAGAAACTGTGTCCCAAACGTTGGGATCCATAAAGGCTAAAAAGCAGCAAGGACGCTACTAGGAGCAAGTGCTTCCAAATAGGAGCGTTCGGACGCTACGATTGGGGCTCCTGGCCTGGACCTGCTAGTAACAAGAAGCAACGAACGGAACAAAGGGCATCGCTAGGTGATGTATCTCTGGGGGGGTCTTTTTCAACCAGGTGATACTTGATTTTACAGTTTGAGTATGCTTTTCGGTGAGGTGCTGCATCTGGAAGCTGTTCTCTCGGGGCAGTGACTGCACGAAAGCGTAACCCAAGGATGGCAAAGAGAGGATCACCACAAGCATGAACCAAAGTGCACCTGGGCAAGCAAATGGCCCTGGAGCTTCCAGTGGCTGACCCCAGAAATTTAGTGAACGCATGTTCTCACACTGTGCTTGCCCTATCTAGTATCATCTGATCAGTCAGTGACCCACTGCAACTATGTATAGAAGTCTGTTGCAGTCTGTGAAGATTGACTGGGGCAACAAAGATCACAAGGCTCAAAGCAAACAAGAGTTTAAAATGCTTCTGAGGACTCTGTGTAAAGTGTGGCTACATCAATCCCAATGAGGTTCCCGTTGCAGGCGTCTTTTGTGGGAGGGGCCCTCAAAACACACCCGGCAGCGAAACTCGGTTATATCGCAATCTGGGGTCATTGTTCGCCCCAGGCGCACCAGGCAGACTTCAGGAGAAGGTTCCTCCGGCATCGTCCGCAGACACGGCTGGGCGCAAGCGGGCTTGATGAGGAACTCGTGAGGTGACGACCTGGTTTAGGAATCCTTCGCGCATGGTAGAGGCAAAGAAGGCTCCAGCTGGACCAAAGACAAGCGAGAGCTAGTTCCGCCATTTGACCGCCTTCAAAGTATGCCAGGGTCGTTTTGCTGAGCTCCCTGCCACATTCATAGTAAGACGCATGCCATGTGTAGCACCAAAAAAGCAGGGTGGCCATTGGCAGCAAGACTAAAATCTGTCGGATCAGGAACAGGTGCGAGCGCCACAGATGATCCTCCCGATGCTCACGCATAGTCTCCATGAGTTCCTTGCAATTGAAGCAGCTGAGGCTGAAGCGTAGGCAGGCCAGGAATAGAGTCAAAAGCCCAATGAGAATCAAGAACAGTCCTTGAAGGCCAGAAATTGGACGCCCCAAGAACTTGAGAGGTGAGACGTACAAGAAGGGTTGCCTTTCTGATTTGGAGACCCATCTTGGTAAATCCATCCACTCAGTGCCAAGCATGTTGCCCACCACCATCAACGATCGCAAGTCCGATGAGTTGTCTGCAGCCACTTGCAGCGGCAAAGTGCAAGACAAACGATTGCTCTGCAACAGAAGCGTGGGCCCTCTGGAAGGGGCATCCTTGCAACGGCGGTGCACCTGAGGACAAGCATCCAAAATCTCCTGGTACTGTCGTTTTGTCAGCTCCAGACTCTCGATACTCAGCAGCCTTCCCAGTACATCACACGTAACTGTGTAAGATGTCGAAGTGCCCTTCACTGGTGCATCCATCCAAAACGACTCATCATCTATGCAACCAGCCTGAAGCTTCATGGGTGGCACTTGTCCAGTGAAGTCATTGGAAAAGGCCGAGAAGAACAGGAGCTGTGCTGATGTGTGAAATGTGGCTGGCAGGGATCCCATCAAACGGTTCCCATGCAAAGTCAGCACTTTCAGTCGAGGCAACTGGGCCAACCTAGGAGGAATTGGTCCCGTCAAAGCATTCCTGTGGAGTGTAAGGACTTGCAAATCGTCCAAGCTGCCAATGCACGTAGGAATCTCGTTCCCTTGGTTGGGAGAACAAGAAAAGGACGACATATATATGCTGTATGCTGAAAGAATTGACATGTGGAATCATGTGGAAGTTGAATCTTCAGTACTGCATCAACAGTCATATCTGTCTATGACCCTGAGGTACATAGGACCGAATATGGGGATGATTCGATCAAAAGATCCAGTCAATCCAGGCCCTGGCGGCCAGCGGACGGTGAAACACAAGAACCATCCTGATGTCTATGCAGGTTTTCCGTTTAGCCATTCCCTACCCAAACCATCCAGTATGGTACAGAACGGTACATATGTACATTGGGGTGGTTGAGCCGGGGTCGAAGCAATTGGGCATACAAGTAGTGGATCATATATATATAATTATATAATTATATATAATTATATATATATAGTGGATCTACTCCTCTCTTACAAGTACCCGGCAGTTCTCCGTGTTTCTTCATGCTCCCCCAACAGCGTTCTTGCTCGCCCGACGCCCCGACGGATCTGCCCAGCGGCGAAGCTGGTTGTGATGCAAGTAGAGCGTAGTGAGGTAAGGTAGGTCACAAAGGGCCTCCAGACTTGACATCCTCAGATGGAAGTCATGCTTTTTTGTCTTGTCAGATTCGATCCTGATATATTTTGATCAGCCATGCAGTCAGTTGCATCAGTTGCATCTCTTTTTTCCGGAACAGTGGGTCACATCTGAAAGACTTGCATGGCGTTCTGTGCGTTCGCCTTCTCCCTCTTTCTCTCACCCTCTCCTTCCGATTAACCCTTCGATCCATCCAGCTGTCGGCTGCGCCGAACCGCCCGATCGATCGATCGCTTCAAGAACCTGCCCCTATTACTGGCCCGCAGTGAACTGCTCCGCCTGAAGGAGGAAGAACCCAACAATTCGCAAACACCCGATTCGCGAGGCTGAACAATAAACATGTGAAGGTTGAACAAAACAAGACGCCAAGACGCCGGTTGTGCTGCAGTAGAGCGACTTGCCAAGGAAGAAGGGTCCCTTGCGATGGATTGGTCCAAAAGGAAAATCGCAAGTCGAGCATCGCAAAGGGGACAAGTTCCAAGCATGTCTTCAAAAAATATCTAAAAACAAGCGGACTGTGCCAAGAAAGCATCATGATGCATCATGCAAAGCAGTGAGCTTTGGCCTGATGTATTTGGAAATGATCTCAAGTCATTGTGCTGCGCGTGGAGGCGCCTGGCCAGTGCTTGTCTCTGACTGCACGGCCGGCCACGCCGGGCCGACCCGTGCAGAAGACGCGTCGGGCCGGATCCGGGTTCGCGGCAGAGGGGTGCAAGGGTTGGAAGGGACGTGGGCCAAGCTTATCCAAGGTACAGGAGGCTTCTTTGACCTAGCCTCAGCCTCGCGTGTGTTGTTTTTAATGGAGGTTCCTCATGGACTCGGAGCGTTGCTTCGTCCATCTGCAGGGTTCTTCAGGGTTCTGCCCGGTTGATGTGGGCGGCTCACCGCGGAGCAATACTGGCTGATGGCAAAGCCCAATGGACAACTGCTTTGGAGTGGTCAAGTGGCAGTGCAGATGGGGCCAAAGAAACAAATAGGTGCAATCAAACTTGCCTTGCCGCAGTCAAGGCAACAAAGCCTGATTCAATGGCACATCATGGCACATCTATCAAACAACGGGTGCTTAAATGACCAACATCTGTCGTTCTTCCGAACTGAAGTTCACCTCCGAGGAGCTTCAGTTGCGTCAACTTGATCAAAGAGTCCGGCAGTGAAGTCAGCTGATTCTCTTGCAAGAAGAGGCTCCTAAGAGTTCTCCACGTGGAGTGTGTTCCGTCACGCCGCACGCCGCAGGCATATGATTATAGGGATTCTCAAGGGGTTCCGTATGTTATACACATACAATTACGAGCACCATACACGTTCAATCATTTCCTTTGGCAACCTTACAGGCAGCCGTGGAAGTACTGGCGCAGTAGGAAACCAGCAGTTCCGTTCCGAATGGAATCGCAATGCTGGCGAAAACGCGGTCATCTGGCCATGTACGTGACGAACGATGGAGAAGTGAGAAGCCTTAGACCAAATTGAACCATCACGATTGATTACTTCTCCCAAACTTCCAAAAAGCCATCGTGGACATCAAAACCCTTTCTCAAGCATGGTCACATTTGCCAGAGTCATATCGGCATTGATGTATACTGTATACTGTACAATATACATGTTCTTGCAGCATGTGCGCGTGTGTGCCAACTGTGACTTTTAGTTGCATCGGCGATACATCACACAGAAACACAACCTGCCAGAGAAAAACTGAAGAACAAACACTGAAAATTCACTTGGAGGTGTGGATTCCCTGTGCTAGAGGGATTGCGGATCTTCCAAAAATCCATCTGAATAGTCTTGTATAGTCATACAATATCAAATGCCATAAGCCCATCGTGCTTCACACAACCTTGAAATTCAGGAACCCTCCGTAATGTAACATTGTTGGTGAGAACATTCTGTTTACAGTCGCTTCCCCCCCCCAAAAGTGATCTGAGGCACAGTCTCCAACCAACAAGGCACCGCGCAGCGCACACGGTGTGCGCGTGTGAGTCATTCAGTCGAGGGGTCGAGGACCGGTCATTCAGTCGAGGCACTCTAAGCCTTGAAGATTGCCCAAGGATGAGGGCAAAGATCTCAACCGGTTCTCGTGCACATGAAGGCACCTCATGCTTCTGGAACTCATCACGCGATTTCGATTTCACCTAGTGGCGGGTGATCGACCAAAGGATAGAACAACAAGGCAACATCAATAAAACCACTAGAGATGGTCGCAAGTGTCCCCTCATTGCCCGTCCTCGTTTCACAGAAGTGTCAATACTTTTTGAGCACCAGTCCTCGTTGAAGCCAAGGAACTGCAATCTTCGTAGGTTTCCCAGCGTCCCCGGTAAACCACTCAACCGGTTCCTCCGCAAAAAGAGCTGCCTGGCTGAAGCGACACGCGCCGAGGAAAAACCGATGGGAACTCGTCTGGCTGGTGGAGACGTGGAGGGTCCAAGAAGCGTTGGCTCAAGGATCCCCAAGGCAACCATCACCAGAACCCAACAAGACTCACATTGGAAACTCTTGGGAACAGCTCCTGGCCACCCCCCTCCGTTTAGCACCAACACCTCATGTCTGTGGCTCCCAGTGGCGGAGTCAGTCGGGAAGAACCCCACAGGGTCGCCGATTGCCATGTCCACCATGGTCCACAGGGTAGTGACACATATTCCCTGGAACGTACATGGGCCTGGCCGTGGATGGGATTGCATGGCCCGGAGAAATCGGATGTGAAATCAGATCGTTCCCAGGTGGTTTTTCTCCTCACACGTAACCATGTGAGTTCCAGGGGAACGTGATCCGAGCATGTGATGCACCAAGAGGCAGCAAGTTGGTGAGGTTGCCCAAAGACTCTGGCAGTGAAGTCAACTGGTTCTTCTCCAAGTAGAGCACCCTCAACATCGGGCAGTACCATGTGAATGCAAACAAGTGGCGCAAACACCGGTGGATACAATGAAACCGCGGTGATGCAATTCAATTGAAACCGCAAACGCCGGTGAATATCCATACCAACATGAACCATGCAAGAGTATGTGAACTCAAAACAAGGATCGTACAGGGGTGCGAGAAATGGACTTGAAAGGTAATCTCCGAGGAAAAACTCGCCAGTCCACACAGCAGGCAAATCCTTGGGATCCGTGATCTTTATTCATCTGTTGAGGTCGATACAAGCACGACAAAGTGGGGGGATGAATGTCGGTATCGTGGTTTCAGAGCTTGCATGGCCGTGTCGGGCCAAGTTCGGTATCAGGACCACCATCTGTAAGGACCACCATCTTCGGATGCCATTTCTCACCTCTGAAATCCGATTCTTCCAGCAACGTCTTCTCCCATGACGAACGATGTCCATGTCATCGGAATGGAAGGACTTCGCACGTCGTGTCTTCGCGTGTCTTCGCATGACTGGCTCGCTTTGTGGTGTTCGCACATCTCGCTGACTGGATCGGATGCAGGGTGTCTGACTTGTGGTGGGCACAAACAAAACTCAAAGAAAAAACACGCAAACTCGTTTGCCGCACGATCACAAACAAACGAACAATCAAATAGTATCACAAACAAACTCGTTTGTGATGCGAATTGCTGCTTTATGCTGCCAATTTCTTGCTGCTCATCTACCAAGCCATGAGGTCATCTACCCCACTTGGACCCGTCTGTGCGAGTTCGTGCGCCGTGTGAGGCACTGCAAGACTGTCGAGGCACAGCAAGCTCTGGAGGTTGCCCAAAGACTCCGGCAGTGAAGTCAACTGGTTGTTTTGCAAGTAGAGGTGCCTTGAGCCAGTCATTCGATATCATGGACACAGCCTCCTTTGGGTTCTTCTGCCAGGATGACCACAAAGGAGTTGCTTGAGAGGTGATTCAATATCCTAAAGGAGGGGCCTGACAATGGAAGAAACACATCTCGAACATTCACACAGGTCTGTGTGAAATGAGGCTGACTTGGCAGCTGCGCGACAGGATATCCCTTATGATAAAAGGAATCATCACTATTCTACGTAACAGTTGCTTTCACATTCAAAACCGTTAACCTGTGAACAGGTCTTCCTTCACTTCCATGCCCCTCTTCCCTCTTCGTTGTTTCTGCCTGCTCTCTCCGTCTTCGTTCACTCGTTCACTTCGGACCCTGTTTTGCCTGTACCGGTGCCCGCGTCTCTACACCGGGTGGCCATAAGCTCTTCAGTTGTCCCAAGGAGTGTGGCAGCGAGCTCAAGTGGTTGTTCTCCAAGTACAAAAACCTGAGCGAAAGTGCTACGAAACAAACGTTACTACACTCCGTGCCGAAGGGAAACCAAAACAACAAAAAGGACACATGCTTCGAAATGCAGGGGTGTGATCAACCCTGCCTTGTTGCAACACTGATCACCTGATGAAAACTTCTGGGATGTCTGATGACGAGCTCAAATTAGCCCATGTAGGATGACATCGGTGTGTGAAAGGCACCGTTCAAGTGATTATGAGTAAAGTCACCAACTTTTGATGAACTTGGTACAGTGATTTAGGGGGGTCCCCTCAAAATGAGACCAATATTGCTCAGGTCTCACGGCACTAAAGCAAAGCCTGAAGTCTGCTTGGACCTGGGAAGCTGCTAAACTTCCCCTGATCAATTCCAAGGTCATCAAATGTTACAAGATGTTAAACAGACATGGAGTCAGAATGTTTTGAGATTTTAAGCTGATGGCAGCAAATGACAATTGATCCCCCCACCCTGGCGGGCGCTAGCTGTGGCTCTAGCCAAAGGTTTGATTCGAAAAGGCTCTTCCCAAGCCTGCTAACAGTGAAAACGCTTCTGGGGGAACCCCTTCCTAGAATCATAACTCTACACTCCCGAGAAGGCACCATGGACCCCGCTCGAATGGCACCCTGAGAGACCATGCAGTGCTTTTCAGGGTCCATGTTAGTTTTCCATGGGGAAATTAATCCCAATGACATTCGCATCGTTGTCAACAAAACGGGGTGCAGTGTCAAACCCCGCTTACCCAGTCAAGCAAAAACATCTCACAGGGCATCATCTCACAGGCTTCCCTGGAGGAGAAGGTGGAACCTGAATACTCGAAGCGGAGAAAAGTCTATAGAGTCTAAAGTGGTTGTCCCTAGGGCTCCTGGCCCACCTCCTGAGGTTCGGTGGTTGGGGTGGGTGCCAGGGGGGTCTAACCACCTTCTGAGGATATGGTTGGAGCCCTAGGGTGTTTAAAAGTCAAGGATTTACTCAAACATTGTCTTCGGGGAATCAAGCCAAGCATTCCAGGATCAAGTGTACAAGGAGGCCCCTGTATATGCGCCGTCACTGCTCACTGCTCACTTGACTCTGCAGGTGGCTGTGCCTCTTCTTGCCGACCCAAGCTGCACTAATTCCGTAAGATTTCCGAAAGATTCCGGCAATGAGCTCAAGTGGTTGTTGCGCAAGAAGAGCTGCCTCAAGGACGTTCCAACCATCTCAAAACCGCATCAAAAACGCTCCATCCACCACATACTTACTACCTGCTCCACCACATGATACCTTCATTTTTGGAGCTCTTCCTGCCGCACGAGATGTGGCCCACCTCTCCCCAATTCGCTTCGGCGCGCCCGCTCCGGGCGCCGCTCAGACCGCTCACACCGCTCCGTCGTCGGCGCCTCAAGCCTTGCAGGTGTCCAATGCTCTCCGGCAGCGTCCGCCAGCCCAGCGCCGAGCCATTCAGCAACACCACGTGACCGTGGTCGCAGATGACGCGGGGATGGACACAAGGGTCCTGAGAGGAGAGAACCGCAGCACGAGAGAGGGCCAGTGTCTCAAAACAAAGGGATTCTTTGGGGGTGTCTTTGGACTCATGTTGCTGAAATTGAGGTCCTTGAAGAGAAATGATAGATACTTGAATGCATGTGATAGAATATATCTGGGTTGGCTGTAGGAGGAGGGAGCTGGGGGCTCTGTTTGGATTCGAATCAGTACCCTTTCTTAAGAAAGCAATTATATATAGCATTCTTATGATAATGCTGGTGAATTTGCAGTTGAGGCGTGTTTTCCACACCGATAGACAAAAAAAACAATTATGTGCAAAAAAAAGGCCCTCGCAAAAAAGTGGGAATTGCAAGGCTGGGAGTTCCAAATCGAGCTAAACTTGATGATTGGCGAAGGTAATTAGCTTGCATGTGTCATCTATATAGACTCTTGACTCTTGATCAGTAAAACCCCCCAATGGAATTGGACATCCTCTTCATAGGGGTTTATTAATGATGAATCAAGAGTCAGTCTATACATTAAAGACCGTTCCGAGAATTCTTTGCCGTTGAGTCTGCGACAAATCAAGAGTCCGCAAAATCTTTGGATTCTGGAAGCAGTTCATGAAGGGCTTCTTGCTCCTGCCGGGTGCTGCTTCACAAAAACTGACACGCTGCAATGATCTTTCCACACCCATGAGGAACACTGCAAAAAGAACCAGCACTGCCAACAGGTCAAAAACTTGCAACTGCCAAAGGAGACTGTGGAGGGTGCTGGTATAGACTGAACTACTGAATGGTATAGATCCATACCATCCATACCTGCACCACGGTAAGCAGCAAACACTACTGGTGGCGTCCATGGTGTGTTCAAACTATTTCAGCACGCCGTGTGTGCTTACCAGCACCTACAACAGCGGTTTGGAAAGCCAGACTGCTGTGCTGCTTCTGAGGGGGGCTGCATGTCAGTGCCCCCCGAAAGCGTAGCAACAGGGGTGATCAATCAATAGATCTGCTCCTCAAGTGTGGACGTTTAACTGGTAAGCAAACAAGCCTCCCAAAATAATAGTAAAAGCATAGGGCGTGCTATGTCCACATCCTACAAAAACATGTCAGTCACCTTGTGTCGATTCACAAATTGGTTGTACAGCATCCCAAGTGGGTATTTACCAATGAAAAGGACATATAGAGGAAAACACCTCTGCCAAACCATGCCAAACCGAAATACCAATATGGTCCTACAGATGCCGGTGCGAATGCTGTAAATACTCGAGCCTCAAGGTTCCTAGTGGTTTCCTGATCTTCAAGGAACCAATCATGATCGGTTCGCTCCAGCTCGGGCAAACTGGAGGCCACCGCTGTCACCGCGCGCAGGAAGAGCGCGCGCAGGAAGAGCATGCGGAGCCGCGGAGAGAGGAGTGGTCGATGGGACGGAGTTGGAGCCCAAACTCCATGGCGACGTGGTCGAACGCGTGGCCCAAAACCACCCCCACCCCACGATATGTGCAGCGGTTAAGACTCTGGTGTCATGGTATTCAAGGTTCCCTCTCGCTCCACACAGTCCCGTCCCAATCAAACAAACAAAGAATTCAACAATCCCTCTCAAACCTGAAGGTTCTGTGTGGGGCCATAATTGTTTCACAAAAATTGCAAAGGCGTTCGTCAGCTCTTTGGTACGTGAATCCATTGAGTCGCGTCTGCAAAGGGAGGAACATGCATTTTGGGTCTTTGGTGTTGACCGTGAGTACCCCAGCTAGCTGTCCTGGAAGAGGTCTAATTACCATGTCCGCCAACGGTGGGCCGTTTTGCCTTAAAGAGCCCTGAGGTTGATCTTGATTGACTCCTTGGTGGGTGACACTCGGTGACACTCCCAAACAACGTGTACAAGAAAATGGTCAGGATGCACCACAACCCACCTACCATTTACGAGTGTGTTTTCGTCCATCCCACTGACTCTACAATGATGAACCATGATAAAACCACTGAGAAAACCCACAGTCCAGCTGAGTTCCCTTTACCCCACCGAAAACTGCCCCACCGCTCACCTCTTTTTTGCCTCTGCTCCTTCATCATCAGCGGCTCATCAGCTCATGGTGTCACATCCAACGAGATCTCGCTTTTGTCGTTCGCCTGACCAATGCCGGAGGATGAGTGGATTTCCTGGGTGACACCCTCACCGATGGGAATGGACACTCAAATCAAGAAAAGAATCAATGAAGCACATCGCTTTGCACGTCCTCCTTGTAAAAGGAGGCGAAGCTCCAAACATGACGCGAGAACTTCAATAACTCTTTCTCCGGATCTCTTTCCTATGAAAGTTACCATATCATCTTCACCTTGGACCTCTAGCCACTCCCTTAGTCGGAAAAAAAGCGAACCTTTTGGCATGTTGGAGGTGTTCGCCCCCTTGCGGCGTTTCATGTCGCACGGATCCAAGGGTTTCATGTTGCAATGTTCATCGAGGCTCCATGTTTTCGAAGGCTACCCGGCCAAGCACACACGGCTTACTGACGCACGGCGGTAGGTTTCCACCGTCTGCACCGGCAACAGCCCCGACTGGTGCGCCTTCGAATCCTTCACGTCGGAGATCACGTGAACAGCGGAGTGATTGGGAGAGCGGCCATGGACTGCTCATTGGAGCGATCTGCCAAGGACTCATCGTTTGAGACTCGGTTGCTGAAATCGTTTCAAGTCATTCCAGGCACCACAAGCATGAATCTATAGGTTGGGAAGTATGTTTACAATATACATGTAAGATCATGTAAAGCTCTCTTGCTGCTGCTTGTGGGAAATGCATTGACAAGAGCACAAAACCCGACAGCCCATCCAAGCCAAACTTGTTTAAAGGCTAACGCTGAGAGATGTGTATCTCTGCACTGCCGAGCCGGGTAACCACCGTTCTCGCCTCAACCAGCCATCCTCAAAGCCTCCTCCAAAGCGTTCGCTGCGGAGCTTGGCACAAAGTCCTCGGCACCGCTGGTGGATCGAATCGTTGGAGAAGCGAGGCGAAACAAAAAGCCAAGCCCTGAGGGGCTCCAGTCGTACCTCCTCAGAACGTATTTGGACATATTTGGGCCCTCTAAACTTTAAACCCACCCCAGTCCCACCTTCCTAGAATGTACTTGGAGCCCTAAGGAAGGGGTGCAAAGATGGAGCCTGAAAGGTGGTGAAAGTGTGAAGGTTTCCGGTCTGGTTCCCAGCAAAAAGCTTGGTGGGGATGCGAGTGTGAAGATTGTTTGACATAATTACCTATAGACCCAGTTAGTGCCCCTTTCTTTGGGTGTAGAAAGATCTGGCAAATCTGGCAGGTCCTTTTCTGTCAAATTGAAATTCCGAAAGGAGCGATCAATGTTTTCCGTGTCTTGGAATTGCTCTAAGAATTTCGACTCAATCCTTTGCCTCTGCCATCTCCAGCCAAAGTCTCTGGGAAGTCAATGGTGAAGCGTACTAAAAGCCGGCCGTAGCTGGAGGGATCATCATGCAATGGCCTGAGACTGAAATCTAGTCTGATGTGGATGTGCGGTGATCTTCCTCCTTCGTGCCATGAAATCAAAAAAGGGAACTTGTATATTGTTTCCATGGAAGTAGGGCAAGACTCATCGAGAGCCCACTTTGACCCCACATTGTCTACTCTTCAAAATGCTGGAAAAAAACTAGGGTACGGGTTGATGGAAGCAGCACGGACACTAGTAGATGCTAGTAGCTCCTGGCATCGCTACGAACGGAGCAAGGAAGCTACTAGCAACAAAGGGCATCGCGACTCGAACGGAGCGATCGGACGCGGACCGAACGTCGTATATGCATGCAAGTCTGAACCAGCGAAGACTTGTGAATTCCGACCTGCATGTCGGTGCTACCGAAGCCTCCTGACCTGCGGAGTTGTCTGAACCTCCACCGAGCAACATCCCCTCGCCCTCCACGACCAATAGCTCCTCTGGCTGTAGCACGCTGCCACGGGGCAGTGAGACCTGGACCAAATGTCCTGACGCTGGACGGCACGGCAGCTGCTAGCGGCTGGTGCAACGGTGCAACCCCAACAATCAACACACGCAACAAAGGTCCTGAGGTGTGTCGAGTTTGCCGATGCGGGGATCATGAGAAGTCAATACATACAGCAAAAATCGTCCTTCTTTTTTGCATGTAGGCCCAAATTCAGATGTCCTGGATCGCTAGATCAAGCTCTGGAATTCATGTCCCATAACCGGAGTCGTCCTTCCCCTTCTCTGAATCCTTTCTCCAAGTTTCCATCTAAGTGATGTATCTCACGCTGAAAGCCCAAAAGCGCCTCCATCAAAGAGATTCCTTGCAGCACCCAATTTGGCGCGGCGCGAGGTCTAACTCTAACGCCTCATCTGCGGGTCTCCACCGATTTCAGGTCTCAACCGTTTGCCCCGGGGTCCCTAAAGCCGACGGAGATTCTCGAAGATGCCGATTCACTCCCCCCCCAAGATGAGACGAAGGAGGATGGTCAAAGATCATCGATATGTATATTGATTCTTGTTTCTCCGCCCCTACCGGTGATTTGAGTCCGACATCTCCATCCTTGGACTGCGAACCGGTCCAATCCGCTCCAATCCGTCTACCGGTCTCGCGGTCTCCGCGGTCTCCGGTGCGAAACGTCTCCCGTCCGAGCGGCGAAGATGGATCACCAAATCGGCGCCCACCTGGTTGGCCGGGGACTGGAGAAGCCTGGTGCTTTAGGCAGTGCCACTCCCAGGCTGCAGGAACTTTTTGGAAGTGGGTGTGTGATTAAATCATGTGTAATTATGGGTCACTGCATGGGTCATATCAGGCAAATCGGAACACACGAATGGAAGTGGTCTTTGGGGGGACAGCTTGAGCAGTCGTTACTTTGGACTTTGGAACTTAGCGTTTGGTCTGAACAGCACGAATCAATAGATTTTATGTGTTTTCGTTTTTTGATCTCTCATGGACCTCTCTTTGTTCAACGCAGCGCGTCTGAAACAACTATTACGATGTACTCTCTTCCAGCATCCGTTGCGCAGTACAGTGCCCTGTCTAGACAAGTTGGACCTTCCGCAGGTCTCAATGGATGTTTTCGAGGAAAACATCTGATCATCATTTGCTGCCGCCGCCCCCTACATCACTGCATGGCCACACTGCTTTCAAAAGGTCGCGTATGGTCACATCTATTTTCCAAAAGTACCAGCTTTTGGCGGAGGTTCCATCCAGCTGAACCAGATGCCTTCTTGAACACGTGGTGCGGCTTGATCTGCCTTGGCGCCCGAATCAAAGCCCAGTGGATCTGCAGCTGGGAAGGGTTTCCAGCCACAAACCCTCTGGTTGGGTGAGCGTTTCTTGTGCTGCATGGGGGTGCAAGACTTACCAGGACCACAAGCGCCAACGAAATGAGGAAAGCAATATGAAATGATAGGAATAATGTGATATGATAATATAACAATGAAAGTATTGGGTGTGACACTTGGGTGTCTTTGCAAATCACTCATCTGATCCATTCCTGACTTTGCCCCAGGAATCCAGCAAGACCCTCCGACGGAAGGGTCTTGCTCTCCTGCAAGCATCGTGACCCGTGAGCTGGTGAAAGCAGGACATCACTTCGCCTAAGCAGAGGCCAAGCAGCAGTGTGACCAGCACATCACCAGGTACCTGGAAGAGTGTGCGGAAGTGTTCCGTCAGCAGGATGTGGGTCGAAATATGTTGAAATGCAAGACCAAGGCATCACATAGTTTGTTTACATGCGGTTGTTGGACAACATTAGGAAAACAATGGAAAACATAGATTCTTTCCCAACAGAAACAGAGCAACACACACACAGAGCTCAAATTTGACCTCTTCAATGGCGGGCGTGCTCTTTGTTACAGTACTGTGGCTCACGGCCACGACCCCAGTGACACAACTCCCAAGAAAGTGAACTTGTGAAAATGGATACCCCAAGGGCCAGTGTGTTTCGAAGGGTGAGCAACCTTTATAAACATTTCTTGTCAGATTCCATGGAAGCTTGAAGGGATGATGTCATCCACAAGCTTCAGGCTCAGGTGACACCGGCTTCAAACCTGCGTGGAACTCCAACTTTGCACAGACCGATGCACAATACAGTCGAGGAGTCTAGGAAGGTGGCATCACAAGACCCCAGCTTTCACCATGCCTTATTGCAAAGAAATTGCAAAAAGACATCGGAATTACCCCTGTCACACCTTCCACCCCCTCTTTGAATGCTGGACATCTCCCACCGCACACCCGTCCCACCGCTTCCCCCCTCCGTTCTCGGTCTCCGCGGCACGTGGCTTGGCAGCTGATCCGCTCGTCCCTCGAAGCGCAGTCGGTCGCCGCTGGAGCTGCCGCGCTCCACGGCGAAGGGGAGGAACTCGGTGCCACGACGACAGCGCTCCTGCGCGGCGCGGAGAAGGGCGTGGAGGGAGGGAAGAGGAATGGACTGACCGGACTTGGGTGTCATGTTGGATTGGAAAGGGTCGGAAGATAAGGGCCCAGAAATTGAAGCAAGAATCTGAGCAAGAACTAAGGTCTACGAAGATACAGTTCATGTGGAGTAAAGGCCATTGTAGGATGTGGTGTCTACTTTCCAAAACGTCAGGGTCCCATCATCGATCGCCCTGTCCCCAAGACGCCTGACGCCGAGGTCCACAGGGCTTGGAAGGGTCAGTTCCGCCGTCAGAGGTCACCGTTGCGCGAACTTCTAGCTTCGCCCTGTGAACTGCTAGGACCGCTAGGAGAACTTTAAACCTAACATGATGGCACTATATTGCCTTTCCCATCCTTTCCTCATATAGTAATTGTGATGATATGTTTTACTGACTGTTGCTGACAATGGGACACACTAAAATGCATGCTGCATCACATAATGTACTAACAATGACCCTTTTGAGGTTCGAAGTTCGCGTTGATGAGCTCACCACCATGCAGTCACCAAGTCTTTTGCTCTTGTTGGGCCATGCCACGGGGCTTGGCTTTCGAAGTTCTTTCACATAGTACTCCTCAGTGTGGGAGCACTCGGGCGATCAACTGCATGATGTGAGTGATGAGAGTGAAGCTGTCTCCAAGGAATTGAGTTCTTAAGGAAAAAACGTTAACCACCTGTTCATTCCTGGATGCGTTTCGAGGCGTTTCGTCGTCAAAGAGGCTCCAGGAGCCTTCGGATGGTTAAAAGTTCGGGTGACTGGAGAAGTAGGGAACTTAGTCGCACTTACTGAACCGCAAGCATTGACAAGGCTTCGGATAGAGTATTTTTACCAAACCCTAATGGTGGCATGGGCCAGAACATGGGGGAGTTGCGGGAACACCCCCAGCAATTTGGAATGGAATTCAACGCATTTTTGGTGCAACCTAAGTGATAGATTGGCGGCAACGGCTGTGTTGGAAGTTTGCTCCAAATCCCTTCCAGCAGGCGAGGTGGAATCCGTTGAATGGATGTCGCCTCTGCTTGAAGATTGCAACCGTTGATCAGAAAAGTTATCAACCGTGATCCCTCCTTCTCCTTCTCCCTACGGATCCAAATACCTTGTCAGAAGGTACTTGGAGCCCCAAAACCTGCATAAGAGTGTCTCCAATCAGCGTACCTGAGAAGGTACGACTGGTTCCCTAGGGTCTTTCTATCATCCTCATTTGTTTCATCCGAGTCCGAGCATCAAATGAGTTCACCCAAACCTGCCGATGTTCGATCTCATCCGGGCATGCTTGGCACCGCCGACAGCGCGGCAGGCGGGGCTGCAAGCGGCAGGAGAGGCAAACCACATGGCGAGAATATTCCAACTTGTAGCTCCCTCCTGCGTAGGCATCCTCCGCTCAGACTTCGTGCATGCTGCGCATCCGTCAATCCAACAAAACGGAAGAATGGCATTCTGCTAAAACCTAGTGAAAGGAGGCGCGTGCATTGGTTTTAGTCTCTTTGCCAACCAGCTGCTGTGGCTGGGACTCAAAGGACACCAGCATATAATTACATCGGACCAATCGGCGGCGTCGTCAACGCAGGCTGGGATGGCTGGGAGGGTCCCAGTCGTCCTCCAAGCTGATCTGGTGCGAGATCTCCAAGTTCTCGGTTTGCGGCACCTCCTCCGCATGCGCCTCGTAGCGTCGTAGAAGCTCCAAACCACCGGTGTCGTACCTGGACGTGCGAGGAGTAGCAATCTGCCAAACGCTTTTGCGAGGAGTAGCTTCAATTGAAGACTTGGAGAGGCCATGTTTCTTTTTCCCCTGAGTGCACTTAGAATGAAAGTAACAAGTAACAAAAACAAACAACAACTTAACTGTTGGAAACTATAACAACTAAAGCTTCTTTGCACCTCCATTGCACCAAAGAGCTCCCCTTCCCCATAACGCCCTTCATGTTTAAAGAGCAAAGAACGTGGTAACATGTGCACGCTTGGCGGGGTCTCTATGGCTCGTGGCGAGCAGCGGGAGCAGGGTGAATGGACAGCCCATGCTTCACCAGCGATCTGGGCTGGAGGAAATGGGTTCGCGATTCTGGTGGACTGAAGATGACTGAAGATTCTGGTAACCAAGGCATCCACATACCCTCTGAGAATGTGTAGGTTTGGAGGGTCCCAAGTCGTACCATCTGAAAAGGGTCTCGGACTCGGACCCCTAGGGAAGGTCACCAAACCTGACCCACATTGTCACATAGAGCATAGATGGGGCTCCTACTACTCAGAAGCTATAGTTATAAAGAATAAATGATTAGATCCCCCTGGCTCCCACCCCAATGATGTTGAATGAGGGCAGTCCCATACCCCAACAATCCAGGTACAGTGGATTGAGAGGACCACTGGCACAAACCCCTAAGAGGTGGGTTATATGGACACCCGGTCACCCATTCAAAGGACATCATTGGGGTCTGTGCCATCGACTAAACCACCATCGATGATGGTAGATGGACGCCCGAAGAGTCGAAGAGTCGAGAGGCAGCAAGAGCTTCACAGGATCTTCCAGGATCTCAAAGGCATCCCGGAGCTGTTGAAAGCCTAGGAGAACCAGAAAGCGCCATGCTTCGCATCTGTTCGAAAGTCCCCACAAGATACCAGCCTGAAATCCTGAACACAGTCGCTTGTCGCACCAAAACGTACAAAAGCTCCTGGATTCTTTCTAACCGGATCTCTTCACGCATTGATCATCTTCTTCGGCCTTCATCGAGGCACGTCGGCCCGAGTCAGAGCTCTTGTCCGGATGGTGCTTCACTGAGAGATCACGGTAGCTCCTGGCCAAACATCGCTGCCCGACATCATGATGACGCGGAATTGAGTGCACCACCTGTTTGGTCTTCGGATGGTTTGGTCGATTGCATGACCATCCAACCTTGGGGCCATGGCATCCACTTCCATGCTTGTTTTAGGGAGTGTGTATGACTGCGTGATGCTGGTTCTGCTCTACTTTCCACTCATCCGAACTTCCTGCAAAGAGGGGTTGTTTCAACCTATTGTCGAACAATTAAAGCCCACCAGGCGCCCATCGACTATGCGTTGTGCCCATAGACAGTCTCTCTTCGTGGATTTGATCAAGTGACCCGTTCATAAATATTTATGGCAGGTATCAACAACAAATTCAGACTGACCAAGAGGGATTTGTGCAGAATTGTCCTGAAGAGTGGACCTTGGGCTGCTAAACTACGGTAGGCCTGTGGTGCGAGAGATGGCCAGCTCCAAGCACATCCAAAAAGCACTCCACAGGTTGATCAATTCATATCGATTCCTCCTGAAGCTTCTTCAGTCCTACGCCAAAAGGCCCAACAAGAACTGCCAAAACTCCCCTTGGCCTCTTTTTTTGCCACAGGCCCCCCCCCCCAACTCCTTCCACACGTCTTATCCATATGTGATTGAGATGTTCTTCCACTTCACTTCCAGCGCGTGACTTTCACCGAAAAACCAGCTCGCGCACCTCGTCCGGGCTCAAGCACCTCGTCCGCTCGCGCGGCTCCCGCCTCTTCAAGCGTTGCAGATCGATGCTGCCCTCGGTGCCGTCGTCCTCCATGTCCAGCGCCGCCAGCAGCTCGGCGACGGTGCCCGGCGAGGGCCGGGCGCCCCGGTTGTAGCCTGGGCACGGACTTGCGATGCGCAAAGCAGGGCGTTTTGGGAGGCTGGGAGCGCACGAGGAGGAGACCTTACGGGGTGGTGTAAGAAAAGTTGCATTGCTATATACTAGAGAGTCTATATGGGAGTTGATCTAAATTCCTTTATCCGGGATCCGTCATTTTCGCCAAAAAAAAATTTACTTTCGCCAAACTTTCGCCTTCCTGCGTTTTATCTTTCGCCGAAGTACGTTGTATTTATGTGTGCCATGTATGTTGTGTTTTGTTCACGTCAATGGCTTCTTCTTTACTGGCAAACACAAAATAGAAACTTCACTGTTTGTCAGCATGTGTCTTCTACTTAACTGTTGACACCCTGTACGTCTCTTTTGTTTCTCCTGGGTGTCAGCAAGACTCAAATTTGCAAGAATCACTGTAGTAGCCGGTCACTCAAACTTACTCATAATGGGCTGGGGGTCAGATGTGGCAGGGTGAACTTTCGCCAATCTTGAGCTGAACTTTCGCCAAACTTTCGCCTTTTGCGGGGTAGAGTTTTGTGGCAAAGCCACCCCCCAAAGCAGGAGCAGGAATAGTAGTAGTAGTAGTAGTAGTAGTAGTAGTGGTAGTGGTAGTGGTAGTGGTAGTGGTAGTGGTAGTGGTAGTCGTAGTAGTAGTAGTAGTAGTAGTAGTAGTCGCAGCAGCAGCAGGTTATCTAACTTCCACAGCTCAACTAGCTTCTGAGTCACTGCCACCAGCTGTTCAGAAAGCAAATGAACATTCATACAAAAGTACATATTTAATCTTTCGCCAGATCTTTCGCCAAAAAAAAATTTACTTTCGCCAACTCGAGGAAAAACTTTCGCCAAATGAGATTTTGATATGTTCCGGGTCATCGTCATACACACTGCTGACTAGGACCTTTAGATCGACAACCATATAGACTCATAAGAAAGCAAAAGCATGTCACCCATGTCCAAGTTTGGGAAGGGGATGAAGGAATGGACATCTGATGAATCTATCTATCTGACAGTCAGGTCCATGATCCACTGGCATTCCTCTGGCGCACTGCATACCTCACAATAGTTGCTTGCTCTGTGCACACGCGAGCAAAATCCTCCAAAAACCAAGCTCATCCCAAAAGCCAAACTCCCAAAACAGCAACCTATCGATCCCCAAACGCCCCGGCCCATGTTTCACCCATCTTCACTCGCCGTTCGTCCGGCGACCAAGGGACCCTCACAGCCGAAGAGGTCATGCAAGGCTCGGAGCCCCTCACCTTAGACAAGGACGAAAGGGCGTGAAAATGAAGCCATACCCTGCAATAACGGCGTTGCTGTTTTCAATGTTTTTTTTTTTTCCCCACTGTGTTGTTGTAAATAACTGTTTTCCACTAGCCATACCCTGCCATGAAGCAAGCCAAAGCCAAGGAGGAAAGGACAATCACATGACATTCCGGGTTCCAAGGCTGCATCATAAAAACATATACGGACATTCATCCACCTTGACGTTCATCGAACAACAAAAAACACCGCGTTCTTGATGTGTTCGTCCAGAGACATGTAGAAAATCAACGCCGCTGGCAGAGCAGGTGCAAGTCCTATATATGCAGTGAGTCGTTGTGACATGGGTGGATTTCCGAACAAATCCTAAGCCCACCAGTGGGCACCCACGGATGCCCAAACAAAAGCTTTACATGATAGGACTGATAGGACATACGAACTCAATCTGAATCAGCTTAGACTCCCTGACCAGTTCCTTGAAGCTCTCCAAGCTGACAAATTAAGTTTACACTCAACGATTGTTGTTCTGGAGGTTAACATCAAATGACCGTACCTTACCACTGTCCAAAAGAGTCTGAGAGCGTCCAATTCCCCCGCCTTCCCGCCACCCCCACGGGTCGCATCTACCAAGCCGTCGAGCGACGCCAGCCCGCCGGCCATGTCTGGGTCGACTCCTGAGGCGTCGACGTTGGTTCGCTGCGTTTCCCCGCTGTTTTCTGGATGTCAGGTGTGTGGATGTGTTCACCAACCCTGATTGCAGTAGCCGTGGTAGCACATGATCTCTGAAGTCTATCTGGGTGAAGGAACATCAATCTTGATGGCAAGTCGGGCATGGCAGATCCCAATACCCATAAATACCCATCAACTGTGGATGATGATCATTTTGATCATCTTTCACCCACTACCACTGGTAAATGGGATAAAACAAAACTATAGCAATTCCCCATTGTTTGATCTTTTTTGGTGGCCTTTGATGTCCATACGTGAAACTTTGCCTTGTCACTTGTCACTGTATCCACCGTCGGTTCGTCCAAGAGACGTCGCTCGTGAACGCACAGAAGCCAGCGGCTGCCCAGGACCAAATGCCCAGAAAAGTCACGAGACGAAGCATGGCGTAGTCATAGCAATCATGTCGGATTTGGCGACGCCATCTAGAATGTCCAAACCTTTTTGTTCAAGTGTGTTCCCAGTACATGTTTTGTGCTTCTGGTCTTTTTGTTGACCTTCATCTCCGGGCTCTCTTGGGTGCTTTTCTGGTTTGGGACCCGCGTTTGGATTGTGGAATTTCCAAGTTCCTGTTGGCCTATTCATTATAAGACTGAACCTGCCAATCTGTGGGAGCCAATGGTGACCAATGGTGACCAATGAAGCACTCAACAACAACCTCACACTATCTATACACGTATCTATGCTATGTGACGTCCACAATGCAATAAGCCCCATTAAGGCCAGATTCGAGCTAAACATCCCAACGCAAAAGCACTGGAAGACGGCGACCATACCTCTTGTACCATCCCACTTGCGCATAGTGGTCTCGGCTCTACTGCAAACCACATGGAACTGATCACGGAGAAATAACAACAGTGGTGTGACGTGAAACGACACTTCCAATACAAGGCAGGACCGTGGAAAAGCAGCAGCCACGCGAAAAGCACCGGCCTTTGATCATTTGATCCAGCACGGCCACGCGGTTGTCCAGCATCCGTCTAGCAGCTGAATCTTTGATCCATTGGATCCCATGAGATTGGACATTAACCTATACAACCTATCTGTCTATCTGTCCTCTGTCACTGCCCCCCTCTCCCGCTACATTGGTTGCTGTTTGCTTGTTTTTTTTCCTTTTTAGTGCTTGATGCTCCAACGTGCTTTGCAACACTATATGTTGGAGAACAACTTTGTCCAATCCAAACGAACTGTTTAATGATCAGAAATGAAATATATAATTCTTTACTTTCCCACTTCATCCCTCTCCACACAAAACAAAAAACAACAAGTATATTGAATATACGATGTGAGAAGCAAGTCTGCCTTGCATCCCCGAAGAAGCATCACTACAATGACCGCGCAAGGAGCCGAAGACCACTCGTGGGAATCTTTTCGGTGAATCATAGGATATCATCCATGTCATGCGGCCTCGCATGTTTTTCAGTCAAAATGGGTCAAAGTTTCTTTCTGAAGCGCTTTTCAGCACCTCCGAACACACATCACCGCCGTTTGTGCGCTACGCTCAGCTCTCCTTGCCTGCGCGTGTGCGATACGCGCACACGTCCGTAAGAAGGGATCGATCCAAGATGATCTAAGACTAAGACACCAAGATCCGCAATCTTGGTTCAATATGATGTTAAATGAATTGAGTTTTCTAGTGTTTTGCATCGTGCTCGGATGTGACTCAGTTAAAGAACGCTGTAGTAACTCAGTTGATGGGTGATCCACCACATGGATGATAAGGTGGAACGGTGGAACCCTGAAGCCTGGGAGGGGAGGAAGCCCATGTTTTTGTTGTTTTTGTGCCCTGAAGACCATCATGTTTCCGTCCTCGTTTCTGGGATGATCGTGCTCAGATCCACCTGGTGAGGAAGCCGGTGTTCCCGATGTTTAAGCTCCAAGATCTTCCCACATCCTCCCACCCAGCACGTGTAAAACAACTCTCAGGGTGTCACCGTCAATGCACCAAGCTCCAAATAGACCCTAGTCTGATGCTGACACCGCACGTGTCAGGGAATCATGGTGAATCGCCCATCTCACCACCCTTTCAACTCATGGCCATTGGACTGAGAAAACCAACGGGGTGCAATCTACTCAGATCGACCAGTAACGATGTTTCTTCACCAAACACTTCACCTCAGAATGAAGAGGTGAGATGACAAGCCCTATAGGGATTCCAAACACCATCGTTTTTGTTGTCATTCTTACCGAGCTACCATTGTTTTACTAAGGACTTTAAACTTTAGACTACAACACCATGTCAACCATGTTGGTAGTCATGTTGGTTAATGGTCTTGGAAGGCTAGGACAAAAAAGGCCTCTCCACCTACCGCTGTCTCCTTTGCTTTTTGGTTGGCTTCGCACGCGACTGTGTCGGACGTGTGGCCCTCACTTGCAATGTGACGTCCAACAGATTCTATGCTCCGTCGGTCGACTTGATGCTTCGAAGCCCGTCCAACTCTGCAGTCAAAAAACCTCCCGGTCTTCACTTTCGGATGGGTACAAGAACCTCACGGCCCCTATGCTCCCCTCAGATTCGGCTTTCCTCATCTTTCCTGCTTCCTCCAGGTCAATTGAACAGGTCACCTGGATATTTTCATCATTTCACCTGTGTCAGAACTCGTGCATGTCCCACTGCAAGCGAACGCGAACTACCTCGTGGATCAGCTGGGGAGGCTTCCTCTGGAATCCTCGGTCCTAAGTCCAAAAATTAGAAGTTCTGCTGATTCAGCAGCTAAGCGTAAAGAGGAATCCTCGCTGGCCAGAAACACATCTTGTCATGCTTTTGAGAGATGTTCTGCGAACAATCTTCATCAAATGTTGCTTCTAGTTTACTTCAAGGTCCTTCCCGGCTCAACGAGGACTGCACAAGGAAAACCAAAAAAAAGGCACAACAATACATCCTGCTCGGTTGGCACCGGGCACCGTTCTGCCTCCAAAATCCGGGTGAAGAGCACACCCCAGGCGAAGATTACATCCAACCCTCCCACGTCACGTCACTTGCATGTGCCATGCTTCGAGTTCAAAATGAAGGAACGGCCTTCAGAGGCCGTAAGAAACTCCCCATAACAAGCAGTGAACTAAATTGGTCCCCGTAAATCACGGGTGGCCGATGGGAAGAAGAAGGAATGTTTAGACTAAGCTCTTTTGCTGAGGGGTGTCCTCGAGGAAGTGTATGTAATTACGCTTCCAAGATGAGATTGTGTTGTATTGTGTTGTTGAATCAGTATGAACTAAGAACTCCCAAAAAGGGTCTGAGGGTGGATGTAATTCTTGTGGCCAGCATCTACAAGAACAACGCTCGCGACAAACACGTTCGCGTGGCTTTGCCACGCGGTCACGCACATGTCTGGGTCGCGGTGCGTTGGTTCGTTCCTCGTGGCGCCTCACTTCTTCTTCCTGCCAGTCAAGGCCCTCAGTCAGGCGCATGGGTTGACGACAAGCCTGAACTGACAAATCTGGCACTTTGAGATCCCATTCCCTTCTCTTGACATACCTTGCTTCCACGCATGCGCGCGTTCTAATAGAGCCTAATAGATCAAACCAGGGTGCGCAATCTTCCGGTTCATCTCGCGTTTCATCACCTGAACGCCGTGCCGGTGTGGCAACGCGTGGAGGCCTTGCTGCTTCCAGGATGGTTAATGGTTCATTGTTCATCATCTCCATGTCGTGACATCATCATGAGACATGTGCCCTGGCGCGACCACCCTGTCTCCGGCGCGGAGGAGGAAAACAAAGAGAAAAGTCTGTCCCATGGCGCCCTGCTCCAAGCCGCGCGCACCAAACCTCCAAACCGCGCCCTGCTGGGCTTGTCTTGTCTTCCAACGTCGCGGCGACAACGACGCTCCGCGCCACGACGCGGACCGCGCGCTCTGAGCCGCCTGGGAGACGAACTTCTTCAGCTCTGGCCGCTGCCGAAGGATCGAGGCGAACTCCTGAAAGACGGTCAGTGGAGTCTTCATGGCTCTGGGAGACGGATTCCACGCGGTTCTTGGGGGGAGAAGAAAGCTATTCCCAAACACTCCCATGTATGCCATATACATTGCTTACATTGCCTACATTGACCCCTGAAACCACCCCAATGTAGGCATCTATGGCATACATGGAGTGTTTGGGATTGGTGGGGTGGGATTTTTCTTGATCAGAGTTTCAGCCGTATACCTAGGAATACGGCTGAAATGAGACAGGCATGACATGCGGCCGGGAGCATGCCAAAGCCCATTCGGCCCAATCAGTCATGTTTGGATGTTGATGTATCTTTTGGGATGTTGTTTGTGTGTGCGATCTTGCATGCCACACTCCAAGTATTGTGGATTTTGTGCTCGAAACACACCTTTTTTTTGGGGGGGGGTGCGCACCATTTAAAGCACCAAAGAACATCACTCATTTCATGTCGAACTCAAAAGTCTGAAAGGACACATTGTTCAACATCTCTGGAGAACCACCCCAGCCTGTTCGAGGCACCATGCGAACGGACCCGTAGTGTTGGGCCCCCCTGGATCCAAATCGAGTCCCACGCGCCCAATTCGTCGCAAAGTGCTCCAGCCCGCGCTGGGCTGACAAAGTTTGAAAAAAGTGGTCTTGCTTCATGTGGCGAGGTCCAATGTCACTCGGATTTCTCTTTGCACCTCACATTATTCTCAAGTAATCAAAAAACACATAATAATATAATGATGAGTAGAGTCCATCTTAAGAAGCTTGCCATTGGCTTGCTATGATATACACATAGAAGCCAAAACGACCAAAATCTGGCATGCCAAGGTGGAAGCCACGCTGGCAAAGCGCCCATCGCGGTCTACACCCTGTCCTTCCCCGGGATCAGCTTGTTAAAGTCCTGGTCACGCGGCGACCAAAAACACAGAAATGAGTCATGATATGGCAAGAGTCGTGCTAAAGCTGAAGACTGCTAGGCTTGAAGATATGAGTGAATTGATTATGAGGAGTCATGATTTGAGGTCTTAAGATTCTCGAGTGATATTCTAGACTCTCAAGCCGAAGGTTGGGTTGCACCACAGGAAATTCTCTCCCTGGCATTGCGTTCCACCCGCTGAAATGGGACTTTCAACATGAGGCAACTTCATCAAGCAGCGGCAGGGCCCAGCACGGCCCAGCGGTGAGATGGGATGAGTGCTTCACCAGCACATACCAGGTCAGCAAACCAGCTCCAAAAGTCTGGGAACCGATCGGAATTCTCCATTCCGTTGATGGATCTCTCACTGACCCAAGTGGCCCGAACTGGCGATTCCGAGCTGTCGGACAAGGCCGCACCAGGCCGCACCGTGGCACCGGCGGTGTCCGGCTCAAGCCGAAGCTGTAAAACATGAAGTAACTCTTCCCTCATTTGGATCTCCATCCAAGAGTGTGCACCCGACACTATGGGGAGCGTGCATCCTTTAAAGAGAACAA